CAAGTTAAGCCCAGCAACATAAGATGCGGGCAAGGGGGCCGAGACTTAGACAAAACCTAGCAAGCGATACGGGATTGCTGCAAGCGAGCTTGCTGCAGGTTTGGGCCAAGGACTTAGGACAAAGCTCAGCAACTTAAAAGTTTTGGTTTTGGGCTTGGAGGGGCTGCAGGCCCATGGTAACCCTTACCAAGGCGAAGCTTGGTGTCCATGTAGGCACAACAAAGCCCAAAGGGATGCTGCCATAGTCTAGACATCACAACGACGTCATCCTAACGGCGTGCTCCACACGGCTAAGCTGCAGACTAGCTGCGGTGGTCAGCGGTGGTGCCAGTGGCAGCAAGTCGTAGCCATGCATCATATTTCCCAATTTTTTTCTTATTTCGACACCTCTAGGGTGTGAAAAAAACCCTAAATTGCTTCTAATTTATTTGTATGCTTTGACTGACAAATTCCACTCAGCAAAATAATAGTTGCGTAATGCATGAAACGTGTGTGTGTGTGTGTGTGTATATATATATATATATGAAGGAAAATATAAATATAGGGGGGTTCATGCATCATGGGGAATAAATAAAAGCGTACTTTATTGGCAGAAAATAAATAAAAGCCTTTGAAATTTGTAGCAGAAAGCCTCCTCCTACGATCCTTCAGTTCCTTAGCTTTTGGCAAGAGCGTGCAGATAACGTATTGTAGGTCTAATTGACTGAACTATTCTAAGGGAGTAGAGAGGGAGAAGCCAGCGGCAAGAGAGAGAAGGGAGAGATTTAATTGTGAGGTGTGTTGTATTTCACCCCATTATGCCTTTATTTATAGTAGTAGGATAGATTAAATCTTTATCATAATAGGATTGCAACTCTAATATGATAATATCTACTAAAGGAAATATTCCAAGATACCCTTAAATACATTAGGATTTATACAATCACATTCATATTCTAAATATGACTGCAACAGTTTCCTATATTTTGGCCTGTTAGTCAAAATGATTCATGAAAATGTCATAACCCTTCACTTTGCTCCTTAACAATGAAAACTGATACAAGTAGTCCTAAGTAAATCATTTTGTTTATTCCGTGAAAAATCTGCCAATATCCTCGTTACGTGGCAGGGTTGGTTCACAAAACCCTAAAAAGGTTGTTACGTGGTCATTCATGCGACAATTTAACAAGGATATGGATAGATTTTTCACGAAAGAACCAAAATAATTTACAATGACCACTTGAATTTATTTTCATAATGAGAGATCAAATTGAGAAGTTATATCAACCATGTTGACTAAAAAGCCTTAAATTTTTGTTTTGTTTTGTTTTGTTTTTCTTTTGTGTTTCAGACAATGGGAGCTTTTAGTTTAAATAATTTACTTTTCTATAAACTACAGGTAGCAAATTGTAATTTAAAAAATTGGAAGAAGCATGTTTACACGCTATTTAAGTGGGAAAGAGATTCTCTCCGGATCTCTTCCTTCAATGCTATCTTATTAAGTGATCCGGATCTTTCAAATTTCATCCAACCACAAAAAATTATTACAATGTAGACCGTTGAATGAAATTTGAAAGGCTCGGATTACTTGATTTGGTAACTTTGGTGAAAGAGATCCGGATAGAATAGGAAATCAGTAAACGCACTTTCCACACCGTGCGTTGACTTAGGATTTAGTATTTACTTTGTATGGAATAAAATTTGTCTTTCCTTTCCTTCGTTCCAGACTCTTCCTTCCCTACATATGGGAGTTCTGATGACCCTTTACTTCTCTCAGGACTTATGAGTTTGACCGTTTCCCACGTTTCCTATTAGTACCAATCTAACTGAACTCAGTGTTTAAAATATCTGTATCGGTGGAAATTTCGACATACAAATTAAAAAAAAAATATTGACAGATATATCGAATATCAATATTGCTTTCATTTGAAATGATAGAAATTTAAAATGAAGTTTTAGAGATTGTCAAACATTGGTTTGAACGAAATATAAGAAAGTCTCCATTTTTTAACATGTGTAAGAAATATTAACGATATTTGTCGATTTTAGCCTAAAAGCCATAAACTTAAGAGTTCCTCCGATATGAGGTGAAGTTTAGACTTCACCCCCATTTTCATGTCTTTCTTTGATTTTTTTTTATTTATCATGGAAATATCGACAATGTCGAAGAAATTTTAAACACTGATTGAGCCAAACGTAAACTTTCAAAAAAACACTCAGGACTCGTTTGTTAGAGAGGATTGACTTGGATATGATATTCATGTATTGAAAGTATTTTGAAGGAAGAAATGAATGTCAATTTTCTTGTTTTGTCCAAGTCAATCGTCATTAACAAATGAGGCTTTGTAGTACTGCGGTGGCATAAACCAAAACAAAACTCGCAGTGGGCCATTTTTTTTTTTGTTAATTTCTTTAACTTTTTAAATAACAAAAATTTAAAACATACTTTAAACAAAAATAAAAAGTAAATAATAACATGCAAACGAGTAAATTGTCACACACGTTTAAAACTTTTAGTTGATATGAACATTCATAGTCACCAGTTAATTGGCAATAAAAAATTGATGGCAAGCAATAGAGAGGACCTTTACAAACAAAGCAAAAACATTGAGAAAGTAATCTTATTATAGTAAAGCCGTGAAACAATACAAGTAATATTACGGTTTAAGCTACCGACTATATATATAAACCAATGTGCCGCTGCTGCAACTGCGACCAATAAAAACATATATAAAGGAACCAATGTGCTGCATCTGGAGAGTTTTTTCGTGTACTCTGAACACAAGGCGGTACACTACATGTCATGATACAAGTGGTTTTGAGTTGGACACTAGCATCCTAATGTGATATTGTTCCTACTCTCAAGTAACAATAGTAGCTTTCATTATCGTTTTCTCCTCCTACATTAGTTTTTTGTTTCTGTCTTTTAATTTTATTTGAATTCTCAAAACTTAAGATTAGAAATAAATTAGAACACATGTTGTGAAAAGGGAAATGTAACAATCACTTCGATTCAACATTATATGCTTCTATATCATTTAATATGTGTTATTCACGTATTAAACTGAGTAACATCACTAATATGAAACATGCTCGGAATTGAAGAACATTACTTACTTAGATGCTCAACTTTGCAAGACAAATAATAGACAATCTCCATCCTCGATCCTTCCTATATGTTAGCTTGCATTTGAAGGCAACAACAAGTGGATCCAATTGCATTGCTCCAAATCGTGTCTTTCAAGGATTAGTACAAACGAACAAGATAAGAACATTTGACCGCCGCCAATGTCCCTCCTCGGTTTTTACAATTTTCAATTGGTAACGGGCCTAATGGCACACGCACCTGGTTTCAACTCTTTTTCTGTGTCCATCTGTTCAGCCAACTCGAACACGCCATGTGGACTTTTTCAACGCAAACCCCACAACTTATATAACACACAAACCCACATTTTCCAAAAACTCACCACAAGGCACAAACCAAATTTCCATACCAAAACCCTCATTACTTTGCAATGGTTCTCTTGGTGCAAAAGTTTAACCAAATCTACTCCAAGCTGGATAATCACCTCCACCACCACCACAACCACCACCAACCGTCGGAACCCGCCTTATCGGCATCTCTGGATGCCTTCCAAACCCATGTTTCAAACTCCTTGAAAAAGTTGTTGCCTCTGAGTTCATCAAAATCTGCAGGGTCAGATATTCCATCATTTCCATGGATTCTACAGTGCTTTGAGCTGCTAACCGTCGTCCAAAGTGCTTTTGCAAAGCTGGTTGTGGAAGTAGATTTTCCCATGAGCAGATGGGAAGCTGCTTCTGTGGATGAGTATCTCAAATACAGTTTGAGTTTGTTGGAGCTTTGCAATTCTGTCAGTTCTTCTCTGTCTAATCTTGGGAAGGCTAAGGTTTCCCTGGCTCATGGTTTGAGCCTTGTGGAGAAATCGTCGCCTTCTTCGGCTTTGGAGCATCTGAAGGCAGTCCAATTCCAACCAAAGGGTTTGAGCAACGGAATCAGATTCCAAGGAAATGAAGAGGTTGGGAAAGGAAGTTGCTTGATTAGCAAGGAAACAGTGATTCATCAAGCTTTGGAGGTTATGCAGGGAATGGTATTCTGGCTAGGTGGGATTTTGATGTCTGGTTTAGCCGGGAATCCCGAGCCATACTTGGAGGTGAGGAATTCGGGTGGAAGGTTTGTTGACTCGTTGCTTTTGGGGTTGAATTCGGGAGTGAGTGAAATAATGGAGAGAAATGGTGGTTTGAAGGAGGTGAAGGAGCTTAATGATGCAGTGACGGGCCTTGCTGCGGCAATAGGAATTGGAAAGAACAGCGGAGCAGAAGCTGAGGAATTGAGAAGAAAACTAGAGGTGTTTGAGAAGTTTGTGGACGGTTTGGGAAAGGAGGTGGATTCCGTCTTTGACAAGGTTTTGGCTGGGAGAAATCAATTGCTCAATGCCCTTCCACAGCAAAAGAAATAGTAGATCAATTGTATAATTCACTGTGTACAGAACATTGTTGTATTTTTATTGATTTTAGTTTGTAAATCAGAGTTTGTATATGGTAAAAATGAAGTCAAAATTCACATTCAAATAATCAAACCAGTATATTTATTTTGTTTTTGAAAATGTAGAACCCGGAACATGAAGTTTAGCCCGATATTTGGTGAGACGATAAGAGAGATTTTGTAAGCAAGGAGCAATAAAACTACAAGTAATGCTAGGTAGACCAAATTTATAAGCCATCTTTGTTTTTGGTTCATTTCAGCGAGAATCAGCTCGCTCTGAGTTCAAGCGGTGTACTCATCTGCTAATTCTTCAACATCAGTCAATTCGAACTTCACATAAACGCATGCCCTTGTTTATGGATAGATAAAGGGTTTGGTATTCTCCATAACATTGATGCATAACTTGAACCTTTCAATTTCAAATAATGGCCGAGAGCCTGAGATTAAGAAACTTCAACAAGTACTTAGGTGCTCTAAAGATCTTGACCGGCTACGAAAGGGGAGCTAAAACTTGCAATTACGAAAACAAATAAACATTTTCCTTTGTTTCTTTTCTCTGACCTGAAAGAAAATACAAAACAAACTAGAAAAAACTAACGAGGACATTTTCCTCTTCATCAGCCAAACCTTCCCAACAAAGGAACTTCTATGTTTGGGGGTCGCCTAACAATTCTACGCTCTCTTTTACAAGTTACTGACCTTTCAACGAAGGTACTACGCTACACTCTCGACTGTATCAACCTCATCTCTAGCATCTGTTGATTCTACAGAAAAGAGATCCTCATAAACAATTACAGACCTAATTGGCTCCCTGAGTCATTGGAGTTGGCTTCTCTTTCTGGAGCTTTCCTCTTCCCAGAATAAGCATTGCTTTGCAGCCTAGCAAAACGATAAAGTAAAAGTAAAACCGACAGAGTAAGAGGACAATGTTATTTTCACTTGAGAAACTTCTTTCAAATCATTTGTAAAACAAAACACTGTACGAGGAACTAAATTTATATTTTGCTTAACAGGGCTAGGGTAAATTTCGGTTGGCTCATCCTAACAACAAACCATCCCCAGTATTTGTTTGAGGCCTTTCAGTTTAGAATGTAACTTGAGCATATTACTTCTAATCACAGATGAGTTTCTACTCTTTGAAAGAATACCAAGCACGAATATTAGATAATACAGTGAAATATTTTAAAGGTTAAGCTTGTTATTAAGGAAAGAAGAGTACCCTAGCTGCAAGGTGGTGTCAGAATCGCCGTTCTCAAATGCAAAATTACTGACCAAATCAGGACTACTTGTGACGCCATGGTTTACAAGGGATTTGGTTTTCTCCACAGGATAATATTCCAAGTACGATTGGACTGCACGGTCAGTTTGTGGAAACAAACATCGAAGCTCCTCAACCTACATAGAAATAATATGCGAAAGTAGACATTGCGTAAGAGGAAATCACTCAAAAGGCCAGGTATTGTGAAACTGACAAAATTTGCATATAGCAAGAAGAATGTAACTCGCCTGTCTGCGCAACATTTCATTCTCAAGTACAGCACGCTGTTCCTGGAGGAAACAAAATAGATGACAAGTTAAAACCAGAGTTGCCCCTTTTTATGGCACTAATTTAATCAACATTAGTCTTTGCAATTCATACCGACGAAGGTCATAGTGCAACTTTTACCATGAAGCCAAAGTTTTAAACCACAACAGAAGTATTTATAAATGGAAAACTTTCCAGTCTAGATTAGTCACTTTTTTCCTTCTCCTGTCTCCTTTTCAATTTGCAGTAGAACGTTGTGTTTTGTATCATTTTTATCCCTCTTTCTATTCGTCTTTTGCTTTAAATCATTATTTGTATCCTTAGTTCAAAACTCAAAGAAAAAGTAGCTTATTTAGAACAATAATATATTAGGTAAACTGAAACTGAAATTCCATATCTCATATGTTTTCAGGAATGAATATTATTCATTTAGAAAACTGATACTTCAACTTACTATTCAATGCTAGTGATGCTAGTGCTACTGCTTACATCTTAAACTTCAAGTAAGATTCAGTGCTACTTCGGTACTTCCACATACCTGTATTCTTGATTGCTCTAGTTGTTCCGTCAGTAATTGCTCCTGAAATATTAGAACATCTATTTAGGCCTTACAGATTGCAGAAATGAGTAGATATTAATCTGAACTACATCTGACATCCCTACTGAATACCTCGAAGAAAAGAAAAAAACGAAACAAGGGAAAAATATAATTTGTACCTTCCTCTCCTTCACTGTCAATAATCCTTCATTTAATTGCTGTTCTAGATGCTGCAATTCTTTCAAGCTCAAATCAGTCAACTCCTTACCCAACAGCCTTCTACACAATCAGAAAATAATAATCTTACACGCAGTACTCCAAAAATCTAAAATTATTAGATCTGAAAATTGAGTAAATACATACAATTGTTTCTTTTGTAGCTTTGCATATTCATCCTTTAGATTATCCAGCTCCTTGCAGTCTTGCTTCTGAATCTACGAACACGAAAAAACAATGGTTGCTGCAATTCTTTCTGAAAACGTTATGTGAGGTTCTTGCTCCAAAGGAGGTTAGCATAATTTACATAGGAGAAACGAAAAAAATTTGAACACAGGAAAAATTGGCACAAAAGTATATTTTACTTTGTCAAAGTTCTGTACGAATAAGACTGACATGCAACAGGAGGACATACAAATTAACGCAGGAAGAATCAAAATAGGACAACAAATAAAAAAAAATTGTCCGTGTTAAAATTTCAAGTGCTACAACACAAAAGATCACCTAGTGGCAAGTGCATAAACTTGTGAGAACAATACCTCTGCCTTGCCTTCTTCTGGTGCATCTTCTGACGAATCTAAACACTTGTTGTATCTTGAAAGAGTTCGTATCATACTACAAAAAGAAAACAGCATCTGGATATTCAAATCCCAAAAATAAACCACTGCCTAACTTTGGAAGATGCACAAAGGAGCAACAACCAAACAGGGCAGTTTCAACTTTGAGAAGTTCAAAAGGAAGTGAAAGTTCTTTCGATTCTGCTATCGGATTTAGCACTAAATTAACCAGAGTTATTAGCTGAAATCAGCCTTTCTGATAGTTCAGAATCATCACCGGTACTAATAGCTTACCAAGGTCCATTGCAGATCCAATTGATCAAACATCATAAAAGTTGGAACAGACTTCACTCAAAGTCTCAAAAAATACTTGTAAACTCAACGTTAACCAAGATATATATTCAAATATTTGCACAACCAATTCAAAATTTGCTCATAGGAGAAATCGCCCCCAGATCAACAATTATAAGATTGTAGGCAACAGGGTAGGGAAGAATATATAAGAAAAGAAAACCCAACTTCATAAGTAAAATGACCATCCCAGACATTCACACAAACCCAAATAAGAAAAAGGGAAAAGGGGAACAGAAGCATCCACTGGTCCCTGAAATAAAATAAAAACAATAAAAAATGAAGAGAAAAAAAAATCAACAGTAAAAATGGAAAAACCAAAACCCCAGATAAATTCATATTCAAAGACAAAATCTTTATCCAAAAAAAGTAAAACACATCAGAGAAACATGATCAGAAACACATGCATGAAACCAAAAAATTCAGAAGTAGAAAAAAAATGAAAACTTTGTACCCAGAATTTAAAGAGTAAAAAGGTAAAAAATTCAGAGACATACCCAGCATTGGAAAACTCAAAAAGCCTTCCAGTATTGGAGAAGATAATAACAGCAACCTCAGCATCACAGAGAATAGCCAATTCCTGAGCTTTTTTGAGCAACCCAGAACGTCTCTTTGAGAATGTGACTTGTCTGCTATTTGCATTCTCAATCCTCTTGATCTCAATCTTCCCCCTTCCCATTATTTCTCCCAAATTCTCAATAACCCCTCCAACAAAAAATATATTAAAAAAACCCAAATGCTCAAAAACCCAGAAAAGGCACCAACTTTAGCAGAAAAACTTGAATACCATTAAAAAATTTATCTCTCTAAAACTAAAAGTCCAAAAGAGTTGTGTGCTCTCTCTCTCTAGGAGGCGTTGTTCTGAGGGTTTGGTTCTTTGGGAGAGAGAGAGGGTGGGGATGAAGGGGGAAGGGGGCGTTGCCAAAATTAGATTGGGGAGAAGATAAAGGGGCGTGTGTGTTGGTGTGAGAGAGAAATAGAAAGAAAGCGTTTATACCCCAAATGGCGAAAGCTTGGAAACGGCAAGTTTGCATGGCTCTGTTTACTATTTAGAGAGTGGTTGCATGACTCTGCTTTCCCACATTTGGCATTCTGGATCCCACTTTTACTTCCTAACCATTTTTTACCTATTATTTATTGTATTTCGAGTTGGAAACTGTTTTGTCGGTCTTGCTTACGGGTCCCACTTGGCCGTTTCAAAACGGAAAGCGCTTCAGATCCCTTCCTCCTAATCTATCAAGTCCGGGGATTCGGGTCGTTGAAATTTGATCTAACGGCTACAAATAGGGGTCCACTTTAAAAGTTATAATAATTTTAGCCGTTTGATCAAATTTCAACGGTCCGAATCCCCAGACTTGATGGATTAAGAGGAAGGGATCCAGAGAGGATCCCTTTCATTATGTAAGTCTTGAATTGCCGTGACAGATGCAGTTAATTTGTTTAACACTATGTCTTCAGTCCAAACTCTTCTCTCACTATAATTTAAATAAATTTAGTGTGAATTATCGTATTATCTATATGTGTGCCATAAACATGGTAGTTTAATATTTAGTGCTAGAAATAGTAAATCCTCTGCCAAAATTAGAGAGAGGGGCATTTTGTTTTGTGTGTATTTTTTTCTGTTTTGGGAGGGAGAGAGTATATGCCCCTCTAATGCCCTTGCTATCCAATTTGCCACATTTGTGTTGTGGAGCCCACTTTGGGAATCTCTATTTACCACATTAAGAAGTTTTTGGTTACATTGCAACTATCCAAGTGATACATTTAGTAAAGCAACTTCCAAATTTGGAGCATATGGGAATTGTCTAGTTTGTTTGAAAAAGCACTTTTGAATTACTTCCAATTTTAGAGAATTGGGAGTTGCCAAGTTTGTTTGTAAAAGCACTTTTTCTGTTTTTGTAAAAGAACTTCTCTTCTTTTCTGTAATGGTTAAATTGGGAAGGGTCTCATTACTAATTTGGCTTGCAAAAGATCTTTTCCCTGAATCAAATGATTTTTTAGCTACAAAATATAATTGTGTACAACTTTTGTTGAGGTGAAATGATTATTCAGCCTAGGTTTATTGGTTGTGATGGGGACTATCAAGCAATATTAAAAGAGAATCAAACACAATAACTTCTGGTATGAGGGTAATTGGGTAAATGCCCTTAAGATAAACTTTATAAGGGTTGAGGTAGAGCGTGTTTAGCATTGCTTCTAGAAAAAAGGATACTTTTTTTTCTAACAGTTAAAAACGTTTCTAACTATGTTTGTCAAAAAGCGTTAAAAGTGTTTATGGGTATTGGAGGCACTTATTGAGAAACACTTGTCAAATGCTTCTTCGAGAAGCTCTCCCAAGTGCTCTTTTTGGAAGAACTTGACTCATTGCAAATTTCTATAATTTCCATTGAAGGCAACTGATATCGATATACTCATCGATATTTTCATAAATTTACATTTCAATATTTCTACCAGTATCAATATTTTAAACACTGCATACGATAAACAGTCATCACGCAATTGAGGAAACTAAGTACAAATGTTCCAAAAAATAAACTAATATCACGATTTATTTTGTAATTGTTCATGGTAGCTACTTCAGTGTTGACTGATACAATACAATAAATCAAAGGATGGGGCCAACCAATGTGTCCATGGAGGCTTTTGTTTCATTGAGTTATTTGTTTTAGATTTTCATGCCAAAGATCTAGGCAGATACATTGAACAAAATCCTCTCTCTTACAGACACCCCAACCACGATCACAATTAGCAGGTGGTACAACAATTAATCATACAAATGACGACGATAAGCATTTGAATGCTAGTATACAGGGCACGAGGTACCTTCATCGGTGTTTCACTGCACTGCAAGTAATTACTATAAGCCATCAACTGTCAATCGACTCAATCCATCAGTTGGTGGATTACTTAGCTCCGCATCGTCCTTTTTACACACATATATGAAGTGACAATCTGGATCTTCCAAAACAAAATCAGCCGGAAGTAAGCCCTTCTCAGTGATAGGAACAGGTTCCAAATCTGACTTTGTTGACGAACCACAGCCTTCAGGCGTTTGGAATCCTGGTCTGGCTGTGAAACAATAGCCAAAAGGATACAAAATCTAGATAAGACACCTCTATCAGGAATCGTAAACACTGAACTAACAAAAACTGAATGTATATGGGCTAGAAAACAGGAAGAAACAAATTCATAGAACTATCATCTCTGTTGACTGCTTATGACTATCTAAGAAAGATCCCAGGAAAAGGTGGGTACAACGTAGTTTGCGATAGTTGAAAAATAGTCAGCTTGCATGTACGCTATGCATAAGCAACAAGTATCTGATGCTTGGACAATCTGGACTGAACTTCCTAACCAATAACCCAAATACCAATTAACGGAAAACAAAAACCAAAAACAAGTTGAATAATACAACCTGCACATGGAATCCAAAGATCTTAAACTCCTAAATGACAATTTTGGAGGTCATCGCTAGCTCCCATTTTCGCTTTGTCAATCATATTAACTCGTAGATTGTGAATAGCTACTAACTTCTCAAGCTGGTGAAGGAAATTAGATATTTTCTTAACTGACACCACTTTAGATGTGGGACAACAAAAATCTTGTACCATTATACTTGAACGGATGTTCACCATGTGTTAAAATTGACTTAAACTCACTAAAAAAATGAGAACATTTGGCATCGAAAAGAAATGAAAAATGCAATTTAACCAAAAATCTCTAGCAATATTAAACAGAATTTAATAACATGGAAGCAAAATCTTCTGGAGAGCTAATTGAATGAAGAAAACTGCAGATATTTGAACAGCAAGAAAAATATGAACTATTATGAAAGGACAGTAAACTTACGTATAACATACAAACGGACTTTCCAGTTGTACACTGGCCGGCTCAAATGAGGCATTCTTACTGTAGGATCACCATAGGTTATCTGCTATACAGCATTGTAAGAACAGATACATTTTGAGCTTTTAACTAAAGAAAGAGCATTGAAAAATGTAACCCAATTTAAGGTTGCACATTTACCAACATATAGATCCCTCCGGGTTTAAGAAGCCTACAAGCAAAATAACAACCATATTAGTGAAGGAATATAGAACTAAATGATATTGAATTACTTTAGAATGGAGAGAGAAATTGTGAACTGGTATAAGAAATTGCAGCTGTAAATTGAGTTTTAAAGTCTAAAACCTGCTCACTTCCCCGAGCATTTGAGCAGCTAATTGGAGCATCGTTGCCACACTAAAAACATAAGCACAAATGAGAAAATCAGAGTGTGCCCAGTAATGAGTAGCAGGAGTAATTAGAACATAAGAACATGCATCGTACCATTAGTGAATCAAGAGTTCCTTTGACAGACCACAGGTGCAAAAAGTGATGAAAGCAAACAAGGTTTATCAAGACAAGACAGAAAATTAGTATACAATATTGTATATTTCTAAAATGAGTAACACGGAGAAATAGATTCTTACCTTTATCAATGACACCATCAAATGATTCATCTGGAAAGAAACTCATATCTCTGACATCCATTTGCATGTCTATAAGATTCATATAGGAACCATGCCTAGTGTCCCCAATCGTTACAAAGGAAAATTTAAATTTGTACTAGAGATTTTAAAGAAGTAAATTTCCAAAAGGATACATTTCAGCTGAGGTATGTGCTCATATTTTCTTTTCATCATGTTGATAGCCACTGACGAAATGTCAATGTTCATTATGTCTTCATATCCATCCTTGACCATGTCCTCGGACATAACTGGGACAGAGAACATTTTTTCCATCATTATCTTAATCAACAAGTACACAGAACCATATAAAGTATCTTAAACCAACGAAATTACAGATGTCAGGTTCCTTTTGCTGGACACCGCATGATTGTTGCATCAAAAATCTTTCTCCTATGGATGGCAAGGACAATGCCAAGTTTAGGGACCCGAATTGCATCAGGTACATTATTACTTTCAACATCAAATTTTCTAATTAGTGGGAAATAAAACGATACTTCGCAACTTCTTTTTTCATTCTAGGGCCTACAAAGAATGCATCCGCCGTGGCAATTCATATATGTATCAACCACAACAGAAGGAAAACACAAAACAGAACCTTAATTTGGGGAATTCATACTCATGCCAAAATCCCCAGCAATAAAAGGGGTCAAATTTGAGTAGCACAATGTTCAACCAAACACAGAATAGCAATAATTACAAAAACCCAGCTCAAAATTACCAAAAAAATAGCTAGAATGGAACGGGAATGATCGGAACAACTGAATTTCGGGAACCAATACTCTAACAAAAGTCTCATTCAAATAATACAAGCACAAAGATCACCCAATGACCCAAATTCCCACGTCAAAAAATTATCTTTTCTGTACTTTCCTCTGAGTTTCTCAGCAATCAAACAGAGCAATTAAAGCAGAGAGTCGGAAGGGAGCTATATATATATATACACATATAGAAAACAAAAGGGAAAGGGAATAAAAAGAGAATGAGGGAAATGGGTGGGTGGCAAAAGAGTACCGGCATTGCCGCAGCCGACCATGAGAACAGGAGAGGAGGTGGGGATGAAGTGGCGGACGAAAGGGCGGAGAGAAGAGTAGCGCTGGTACCAGTCGAAGGCGCCACCTTCTTGGACGTAGCGGGCGTCCCAGTAGAGGGCGTCGCCATAGTTGTAGGTATTGCAGGTCGACTCGTCCCTCAACATCTCCTTTCGCTGCCGCGCTGCTGCTCTGATATTTCGGTGGATTTGATTAGAGTTCGGTTGTTGAACAGTCGGCGAAACGAAATGAAACTAGTGAGAGAGAGCACAAAAGCCCACCACTTAGGACATTTTGGCCCAAATGACCACCAATTCTATCACTTTTTGAGAGAATGGTGATAAACTCACCGTACTGTCTTATTTTTCACCCATCTTTTAATAAAAATTTTGATATCAAATTTACTCTCTTGTAAAATGACATCTAAGACTAAAGAAAAGAAAAACCTCTGCTCTCTAGGTTGATAGGTTCGTTCTTCTCCATCTTCTAGAACAACCCACCTCTCTAAATCTTCAAAAAATAAAGTCCTCAATACCTTTGGGCATTTTAATTTGATATGTTTGTTTTTGTTGTCAGTACCAGCAAACAGCCTTGAAAACTAGGATAAAAGCTTGTCTATCCACAATCCACATACCAATTGTTGTGGGAGGCGCATATGAAGTGGAACATGGTGTTTTCGGGGCGGGTGGCGTGCTGGAGGATGGAGAAGACGCTGGGAATTGTGTAAAATGTATTGTATAGATGCAATCCTCGTTGTGCATCTTGATCGATTGAATCGTGTCTTTATAGATTTTGTTTTATTCAATAAAAATAAAAATATAAAGATTTTCAATATAAAGATTATTTTAGAAATAACAGTTGATGAGAAGATAACATTTCAAGTTTTTAACTCTTTGTATTGGGTGGGATTATAATGTGGGTGTGGAAATAAGATACTAGGGTAGGTCTAGTAGCACTCTTTTGAGACTGGTTACAATGGTAGATAGTTGGTGATACTTAGTTTTACACATGATTTAATTGTTGCAAAGATCTATTATACAAGATCTAACCGTTAATTTTTTTGATCATTCAGTGATACTTACCACTGAACTAAAAAGAAAGTAGCCCTTTTAAGGACTTTAATTGGCAATTATATATTATTACGATATTGACAACTATATAATTAAAGTATCGATAACATTAATTATATAAGTAACTACGTGGCGATAATATAACATCAATGTACTTGTCGATATTAAATGATCCACTAACATGGTCAAGGGTAACCCAAGTTTATTCTTTTTGTGCTGCCATGTCATTGCATTGTTTTGGGTCTTTGACTTACTGCATTATTGAATTTTGTTCTCCACAGGAAGAGTAGGACTCTTATGTTGAGTTGTGTTGTCACTCAAGCCACCTCACTGTTGTTGAAAGATAATACCCTCATTGTGGTGTCTTATGTTAACAATACAACGCCCGTATGTATTTTTTACTTTACGTGACATTGCATGATTAACATAAAAATACAATGGTTTATCTTTTTATTTTTCACTTCATGTGACATTGCATGATTACCATAAAAACAGTTGTTCACCGTTCTATAAAAATCGCGTGTGATCTTTTGGCGCTGCCAAGTGCTTCGGTAGACTCTCCGACAACCTCCTCCATGAAGGTGGATGCAACTACCACTTCTACCTCGCCGTCGACAGATACCAGTTCAAGATGGTAAATTTCTCCGCACCCATCTGCGTAACAATGGAGTTTTTTGACTAATTGAAGTTAAAAGTTGTGGAAATTTAATTCGGCAGGAGACGTTGATGGACCTACTGGGCGTGGCAGGTCGGCGTCCGGGGTTTCCCATGGTGGTCTGCTGCAGCTCACATGACGAGCTTGACGCCGCCAGCTCCGCGGTCGCCAACGTCCCTTGTATCTCTTTGGCTTCTCTGGTAAATTTTCAATTTTTCTTCTTGCACCCACGCTCATTAGCCATTCCCTCACAGTGTTATTGTTTGATTCAGTTCTTAAAAGCTATGTGCATGAGCAGCTAATGGTGTCGAAAGTTATCATATTTGAGGCGTATGACAACTTGTTTGGCAGCAGGTTCTTCCTACCAACCTGTACTGCTTTGTTAGATAGAAGGAAATACACAGTTGGCTTCTTTTTGCATTTGAAACATCGGTAGAATCAATAATATAAACGATGTATGGATAGTACCATCGAGTCTCCCGCACTGGCGCTGACATCGTGCGAGAGTTTAAAAAGGACTCAATGCCAGCACTAGTGCGGTGGCGACGGTGGTGCAAAAAGGACTAAATGTGAGCAAAAGATTACTTGTACCCTGGCCTGCCAAAGAAAGATACTTTTTTATACATGTTGTGAATTGTTTCGTTCACTGCCTTTCAGCGAAAGGATTGTTTCGTTTGTCTAACAGTGAGAACAGAAATGAAATCAATATCCACACAAACAATCATGTAACTTTAGTAATCTACCGTACGCTCTACTCTCGGATCTTTTGAATTCCAATCCAACGTGCATAATCGACCCACCTGTTGCACAATACAAAAAATTATGAGAATTTGAAGACGGATACACAACGAACGAATATAATGACATTCAAGGAGAACTCAGGTCATACATCAAGGAACCCAAGAACGTGTTGCCAGTTCGAACAGCAAAGCAAATTGCACTCAGTATAAGCTTGTGTTGGTGCAGCAAGGGTTCCAGAAGTCGCTGTTCAATTACTCCCGCGAGAACTTGGTACCTTTGAAAGAAATCGAAAAACATAAAATTTGGTAAGTAAAGCTAAATAAATGGTAAGCAAAAAGATTTCTTGCTTCAAGGTGTCATCCGTCCATCTATCCCAACTGTAATGTACTACGCAGGTCCTTAGTTTGCTGCAGAGCTTGTATACATTGTTGGAATAATTAAGCTGCGATGAATTTCCAGAATTCTTCAAACACATTACTAACCATATTCAGACACAAACATAAACGTGCATCTTCAAGATGCGAGTTGAGGAGTCAAAGCTGCTCAGCTTTTCTTTTTAAGACATATTTATAGCATGTGTCCTTTCACAAAATTGCTGTTGAAAGAATTTTATGAACGGTTTCTTCCGTCACCATGTTCTTGGAGACTATATAAAAGGCTTCATGATAACCAAAAAGGCATAGTCCTACCTAGAAACGCCACAAATGGTTTTATTTTTTATTTTTTATTTTTGGAACAGATCCGATTCTAGGAAGACCTAGGAAGGCTTTGGAAGAGACTCTAAGAAAAGACTTATGAGTACTTGGATCTAACGGAAGAAGTGACACAGAACCGAGCGCAATAGCGTTCTAGGATTCATATAGCCGACCCCACTTAGTGGGAAAAGGCTTTGTTGTTGTTGTTGTTGTTGTTGGACATATCCAATTCTCCATGAAATGACAGTTACTATTCACAGTCTCAAGCTTCTTTACGCACATTCAATCTAAATTTTTTTGTTAATGGCCTATGCTAACAGTTCGTGAAGGTTAGAGTAAAAATGATAACTAGAAAACTTCAATCTGAAAATAGCCCTTGTACCTTAGATTGCTAGAAACTGCCATATAAACTCCATAGGCTACACTAGTTGATAATATGGGAACATCCTCAGCTTCACCAGCAAAGGATTTATCGAGAGCTTTTCGTGCATTAATCAATGCATTTGTCACACCCGTACCAACCTGAAACAATTTTTATTAAAAATTGTTATCCATCGTATGACACCAAACGGCTACTAACAATTTCAACTATATAACAAAGTGGAATAAGAGAAGAGAAATAAAATTCGAAGAAGACTTCATATGTACATTCTGCAATGAAAACTATAACATAGGACCAAAACAATCTCGTAATGTACCAAAAACTACCATCTCTTTCTCCGAATGCGTATAATATTGCAGACAGAAATTGAAAAAATGAAAGTAACTTTCAATAACAATAAAGCACACTAGACCCTCAGAATGGCGAATAAATTTATACGAGTGGTTGGACCGTCGAAGAAGCTTGTGCCTTTGTAAATTATTTGGAGAAAAAGAATTTGCATCTTTACCATTCTTGGATGTTGATACAACATTAAACTCAATGGAGTTTGATACAATGTTAAACTCACTGGAGTTCTACCAATGGCTTAATTTAAGTTTGCCACAACCGAGTCCTAATTAGATTTAACTTTAGACGAGCAAAGTTCAAACAACCAGTGGTAAAGAAAGAAAATTTTGATAGACATATACTGCATAAGTAACCGGCATGTTTAGTACAAAATGCTAGTAGAGTTAGCTTACATGCCGAACAAAAGCTGATGTAGTTTTTCCTGCATAGCATGATGCTAATAACTACAGGGGCTTAAAAAAGTATAAAAAGTATTTGGTGATAGCTGAAAATTCCATTGTTTCAAACAAGATAGAACAAATATCAAGTAACTTATGGGAAGTTTTGCCCAGCTTTGAGGTCTTGTAATGTCACACGAAAAGTTCATGATAAAATGGAAAAAGGAGAGGAGAGCCACAATGTTTTACATTGCGTAGATGTTACAGATAATTCTCAGAAAAGCTAAAGCTAAGGCATTTTGAAACATGTAAGGTGTTTCACTTACCAGAGATGCACCAGTCCCAACTGCAAATAGTTTAGCTCCATTTCTCTGAAACAATCAAAATACTATAAACTCCAATGACCATGAACGTAAAGACTGAATAATTTTGGATCACAGAACACAATATCACATACCACTATTGCACCTATTCTCTGTAAGAGTGAGTAAGATGTTCCAGACAAAGCTACCTGCAGACAAGATTGATGCCTCCCATGATGTTATACTCATGATACAGTGGCAACTTGAAAAAGCCAAAAGTAATGAAACAAGCAAGAACCTGGAAAGCATTATCCGGACACCCATAGAAGAACTTAGCAATACGGCCTGCGCTGACAGCAAGAGGTGGTCGAAGCGAAACAGTAGGAGCGGGAAGCCAGACAAGCATAAAATCAGCTATGATGGCCATCACCTAAGATTTAAAAGGAAAAGATAAAAAATATCTGTTTAAGGGTCAGGCTGCCAAAAGGTGGAACAAACCAAAAACAGAAACACTACCAGAAAAAGAAGAAAGAACAAATAGATTGAAATTGGTAACCAAAAGACTTCTGCTAGAAAGTTGAAGGATCGCTGCAGAGCTTTTCCACTATAAGCAACTCATAGCTTGACATATATTACAACTTATGACTAAAAATCGAAAACTCTTTCCCTTGAGATAAATAAACCTTCTGAAAGTGTAGTCAAGTAGTCAAACAATCAGATAATGCAAACGAAGAACATTTTACCAGGTCCAACTAAAAACCGCAAATGAAATAATAAGTCATCTCTGCATTTTCCAACTCAACTTCATAAAACAAAGTTGATAATTCCATGGAAAACCCTTGAGCACAGTTACCAGGTAAAGGCCAACTAAGAAACGCTAAACCTATTGATTGAAAAAGCAAAAGGTCAAGAAGAAAATAGAAAAGAAGAGTAAATATTACCAAATACATGAACATGATTCAATGATTCTGTATTTGGAAGCGCACAAATTGCATACCAAGAGTTCGCATTGAGCACAAAACGAACAAAGAAAGTTTTCTGCATCCATTCCATTTCATGACCCAATATAAAGACCATGCTTGACTGAAAGGCAGAATGTCCCAGTTCAACTTATTTATTTCTAACTTTATATCGTATGTCATATCCCGGATTCCACCAAAGCGTTTCAGAGGATTACACTGTTGCGCTAATTTAACATACACCACTTATATAAACTGCTCATCTATGAAGCAGATGGAAATTACTTTGATTTGAGATGATAGCTTTCCATTATATAGCACAATGAAATCAAATCTCTTATTTATACAAGAGACATACCACATCAGCAAAAACAAAATCCAGCTCTTTGGTAAAATTTTCTCGGCGTCGCTCCAATTCTGCAGCAGTCTGAAAAATGAGCAACATGTAAAGAGCTTACATCCATACTAAGGGATACTTCAAATGGTACTTCAATTCAAAAGTCAAGGATATCCAATGCATAATAGGGACGCCAACTCTGTTGGCGGCGAAGGACTTACATGGAACAGGTGCACGTGGCATCCCTTGTCCAACAATCCATCGTCATGTGCAAGTTTTTCTCCACATGGCAATGTATTATTGGGCGGAATGCCATGTGACGGTAAACTCATTCCATGTAAGTTGCTCTCATGTTGAGGCGCCAAATAAGAACGGTTGATGCCACACTACGGTCATTATTTCTTCCTCTAAAAAATTTAAGAAATTTGACCGTTATATTTTTAGCGTCAACAAGAATAATCACATGCAAATTGATCATCAAATTTCTATTACGAAGACCGCTGCCACACTTAGCAAAATTGTTCATCGAATTTCATCGGAATTAGTTCCAAAAACAATCTCATAAAAAACGTTTTGAGTCACTTTAAAAGGCTCTTCATAACGAGCCTTAGAAAGTTTGTACCTAAATAAAAAGAAGAGAGTAAATGAAGCAGAGACCTTAGTGAATATTCCAACGCCGCACTCGATGCCAACTTTGGTCAAGAACAAGTCGTCCGCAAGCAACCGCTCCTTGAACCCATCAAACCCAAGCAACCATCTGAACACCGCCGACTTCTCCAGCTCAAAGAACCTCTTCACAATCAAGCCCGGCACCCGCCCGGCCTTTATGGCCGCCGCTAAGTCCTTCGGCAGACTCTCCGACGACCTCCCCGCCTCCGCCATTGCCGCCAGGGCCTCCGCCTTGTTCCGATCCCGGTCCTCATCACCATCACCACTCCCATCACTGTCATTGTTATCATAACCTCCGCTTCCGCCGTCTCCGCCTCCTCCTGCGGGGGGTTCACCGCCGTATGCGGCGGAGGCGAGGTGGGATCGGGTGAAGCGAGAGGCGGTGAGTTGGACGGAGGGAGTTGCGGTGATGTTAGTGCGGGCGACGATGGTGAGAGTGAAGTTTTTTGGGGATAAAGAGAAATGGTGGGGGTTGGTTGGTGAAGGGAGAAACTGAGAGTGAAAGGTGGCGAAGTTGGAGATGGTGGTGACTGCCGCCATTGTTGGTTGGTTGCTTTACTTTCAGTATCTCCCTCTCTCTCTTTCTCTCTCTCCTCTTTGAAGAAGTAGAGAGAGAATGGGAGAACCAGAAAGAAAGATTGTTCAGGAAAAATGGGTTGGTGGGATTTTGGTTGGAGGAGGAAGTCTGGAGGAGTAGATGGTCAATCCGACTGGGTCTTGGTCTTCTTCCTGCTTCTTTCTTTCTTTCTTTATTTACCAGGAAATTGTAGAAATGATCATACTCAATTAAAACAACGATTCCTCAATTAAAAATTATTGAAACAACGATTCCTCAATTAAAAATTATTGAAACAACGAATTCATTACCATTGGTTCTTCAACTCATCAAATTCAGCTATGGTCTCTAAACTAAAAATTTATCACCATTGGTCCCTTAACTTTAATTCAACTGGAGAAATGATTCCTCAACTTTAACCTAATTAAATCAATGGTCCCTCAACTTTAACCCAATTGTAGCAATGATCCTTCCAGCATAACTCATTTTAACAAAATTCTAACGAAGTTGAAGAAAATGATCATAGCTACACGTTTTGATGAGTTGAGAGACCTCAATTGTAGTAATGGTCATTTCAACATAACTTATTTTGATAAAATTCTAATGAAGTTGACGAAAATGATCATAATTACACGTTTTGATAAGTTAAAGGACTAATGGTAATAAATTTTTAGTTAAGAGATCATTACTTCAATTTAATTAAAATTAGAAGACCATTACCACAATTTACTCTTATTTTTTTGGTTTTGACGAAATTATTTGAATGGGGTTTTCCTTGTGGACAGAATCAATTGGGTAGTCAAATAAATTTGTGGGAAAATGAATGACTAAACGTTCATGTCCTTGTTTCTTTCTATGGTCTGTATTTTAGCATTAACATTAGCTTGAGTCAGTGGCGGACCTGAAATCATTGGTTATTTTTAAACAAAATTTAACGAAAACTTCTTGATGTTGTTTATTTTAACAAAAAATTATATTTTTACACTAAAAAGTTAATTATAGTACAATTCACTTTACTCTTTATTTTGTTCTTATCGTTAAAATTCAAAGTTTTCAAACCATTTTCATTAGTTTTCTTTATTTTTTATTTTAACAACTTCAAAAACTTAATGTATATTTGTTTATATATTGTATTTGACTTCTATAAATAGTTAAGGCAATTACAATCTCCTCCTCCTACTTTTTATATTTTCTTCTACCATTTTAGTGACATATGTCGGCATAAATTTTCAGCATATGTTGATAGAAATTGAAAAGTGCCTAGGAGGTGATCAACGAAAGGGCACAATAAAACTTTTTTGATTGACATTATGATCTCATTATTTGAAAATTCTGACTACATCACTGACTATACTATTATAAGTTTAATATATTAATATCATACTCATGAGTTTAATATGACACTCTTTTGTTTAATAGTACAATCATGAGTTAAAAATCATTCTATTAGATGAGATTGCAAACACATTTTTAGCCACTTAGTACTACGGTCTAGTGATATTCATTTTCACTTGTAAATGAGAGGTCTTAGGTTCGATTCTCGCTAAAGGCAAATTTAAACCACATAATTGTTAGCCCATTGTAAGGCTAAGCCTATTGCGAGAATCGAACTTAAGACTATAGTACTAAGTGGCACACTGACATTGAACTAATGAGTATATTGTTATTACACTCAAATTTACATCCATACTAAGAGATACTTCAAATGGTACTTCAATTCAAAAGTCAAGGATATCCAATGCATAATAGGGACGCCAACTCTGTTGGCAGCGAATGACTTACATGGAACATGTGCACGTGGCGTCCCTTGTCCAATAATCCATTGTCATGTGCAAGTTTTTCTCCACATAACAATGTATTATTGGGCCAGAATGTCATGTGGCGATGAACTCGTTCTATATAAAAGTTACTCTCATGTTGAGGCGCCAAATAAGAACAGTTGATGCCACAATACGGTCAAGATTTCTTCCTCTAAAAAATTTAAGAAATTTGACCGTTATATTTTTGGCGTCCACAAGAATAATCACATGCAAATTGATCATCAAATTTCTATTACGAAGACCGTTGCTACACTTAGCGAAATTGTTCATCGAATTTCATCGAGATTAACTCTAAAAACACTCTCATCAAAAACACTTTCAGTCATTTAAAAAGTTTTTCATATCGAGCCTTAGAAAGATTATACCTAAATAAAAAGAAGAGAGTAAATGAAAAGCAGAGACCTTAGTGAATAAGGAACTTTAACGAAAAGTTTCTGGTACTATTCACTTTAACGAAAAACCACATTTTTATACTAAAAAGTTAATTCAGGTACTACTATTCACTTTATCCTTTAATTTGTCCTAAAACTTAAAGTTTTCAAGACATTTTCAATAGTTTCCTTCCAACGCCGCACTCGATGCCAACTTTGGTCAAGAACAAGTCGTCCGCAAGCAACCGCTCCTTGAACCCATCAAACCCAAGCAACCATCTGAACACCGCCGACTTCTCCAGCTCAAAGAACCTCTTCACAATCAAGCCCCGCACCCGTCCGGCCTTTATGGCCGCCGCTAAGTCCTTCGACAGACTCTCCGACAACCTCCCTGCCTCCACCATTGCCGCCAGGGCCTCCGCCTTGTTCCGATCCCGGTCCTCATCACCATCACCACTCCCATCACTGTCATTGTTATCATTACCTCCGCTTCCGCCATCTCCGCTCCTCCTGCGGGGGGTTCACCGCCGTATGCGGCGGAGGCGAAGTGGGATCGGGTGAAGCGAGAGGCGGTGAGTTGGACGGAAGGAGTTGCGGTGATGTTAGTGCGGGCGACGATGGTGAGAGTGAAGTTTTTTTGGGGATAAAGAGAAATGGTGGGGGTTGGTTGGTGAAGGGGGAAACTGAGAGTGAAAGGTGGCGAAGTTGGAGATGGTGGTTACTGCCGCCATTGCTGGTTGGTTGCTTTACTTTCAGTATCTCCCTCTCTCTCTCTCTTCTCTCCTCTTTGAAGAAGTAGAAGAGAATGGGAGAACCAGAAAGAAAGATTGTTCAGGAAAAATGGGTTGGTGGGATTTGGTTGGGGGAGGAATTGTGGGGGAGGAATTGTGGAGGAGTAGATGGTCAATCCGACTGGGTCTTGGTCTTCTTCCTGCTTCTTTCTTTCTTTATTTTTGAGGAAATTGCAGCGATGGTGTTTTAATTTTAACTCAATTGTAACAACGATTTCTCAACTAAAAGTTCATTATCATTAGTTCTTCAACTCATTAAATGCATCTATGTTTCTTAAACTAAAAATTCATCACCATTGGTCTCTTAACTTTAATTCAACTAGAGAAATGATTCATCAACTTTAACCCAATTGAATCGATGGTCCCTCAACTTTAATCTAATTGTAGCAATGATCCTTCCAATATAACTTGTTTTGACAAAATTCTAACGAAGTTGACGAAAAAGACTATAGCTACACGTTTTGATGAGTTGAGGAATCTCAATTGTAGCAATGATTATTCCAACATAACTTATTTTGATAAAATTCTAACGAAATTGACCATAATTACACGTTTTGATGAGTTGAATGATCAATGGTAATAAATTTTTAATTAAGAGACCATTACTTTAATTTAATTAAAGTTGAAGGACTATTTCTACAATTTACTCTTTTTTTTTTGCTTTGCCGAAATGATTTGAATGGGGTTTTATTGTGGACAGAATAAACTGGGGAGTCAAATAAATTTGTGGGAAATGAATAACTGAACGTCCATGTCCTTGTTTCTTTCTACGGTCTGTATTTTAGCATTAACATTAGCTTGAGTCAGTGGGGGACCAAGCATGAAATCATTGGTTAATTTTTATTCTAACAACTTCAAAAACTTAATATATATTTGTTTGTAAATTATATTTGATCTCTATAAACGGTTAAGGCAATTACAATCTCCTCCTCCTATTTTTTCTATTTTCTTCTACTATTTTAGTGACATATGTCGGCATATATTGACATGAATTAAAAAATGTCTAGTAGGTGATTGACGAAAGGGCCGAATACAATTTTTTTAATTAATATTATGATTTCATTATTTGAAAATGCTAGATACGTCACTGACTATACTTTTATAAGTTTAATGTATTAATATCACACTCATGAGTTTAATATTACACTCATGAGTTAAAAATCATTCTATTAGATGAGACTGCAAACACTTTTTTAGTCACTTAGTATTACAGTCTAATGATATTCATTTGTACTTATAAGTGAGAGGTTTTAAGTTCGATTCTTGCCAAAGGCGAATTTGAACCACATTATTGTTAGCTCATTGTAAGGCTAAGTCTATTGCGAGAATCGAACCTAAGACAATAGTACTAAGTGCCATCGAACTAATGAGTATATTGGTATCACACTCAAATTTTGTGACCTATTGTAAAAATATTATTCCTATATAAAATTTTAATATGCTAGTACTATACTCACTTTTTCTAACTGTGGAAAACCTTAACCTTGATGTTATATTATTACGTTCTCTAAAAAGAACATCGTATTATGTAATCTATAAAATATGATTAAAAATAAGAAAAACTAATGAAAATGACTTGAAAACTTTGAATTTTAATGATAAGGACAAAATAAAAGGTAAAGTAAATAGTACCAAATTAACTTTTTAATGTAAACATATAATTTTTCGTTAACATAAAATACCAGTAGCTTTTCTTTAAAGTTCCAAAAAAATAAAATCCCTCTAGCATTTTCCTATTCGTTATTGTATTTTAATATCGGTGATGGTAACTACGGTGTATCATACCATCCATAAGGTCTATGGCAGACAATGACAGCCAGCTCTTATCTCCAACATAAACGGATAGGTAGAGCAATTGCTCAAAATCGTTTATTTGCAGAGAGCTCCATCAATGGCGACAAGCACCACGCCTTCGTCCCTCATGCTAACGTACGCCTCCTCTTACGCGCACCCACATGACCTCACTCCCTCTCTCGTCTCCTTCCAGCCCAAGCCCCTCTTCAAAACCTTCTGCCTCTGCCCGCTGGCTCTAAGGCCTCGAGAGAGAGAACCAAGCAAATGGTCCAATTCCGAGCCTCACCGAGTGGCCGCGGCGGCTCTGACGGCGGAGGCAGAGGTGGAGGAGGATGTGGACGAGAAGGAAGGAGTGAAAGGAGGTGATGGGTCTGTTGCTGTTGCTGTTTCTGTTCCTTCAAAGCCCAAGAAAGGGAAGGCTGCATTGCTTTTGAAGAGAGACAGAGTGAGTCTTTTTCTTGTTTTCTTCTGCAAGTTCGGATTTTTCATTGTTTTGAGGGTGAAATTTGATTTTTTGGGTTATCTCGTTGGTGGGTTTTTCTTTCTTACATTTAGTTTTTCTTTTGTAGATTATCGGTTAGTTCGGCGAATACTTGTTTGTTATGGTTCTTTAAATTCTAAAAGTCAAGGAATTGATTTGAGTAATTAAGGTCACTTCGTTATCTCGGAGAAGAGACTGGTTCTGCAAAATTTGATATTTACATCCTTAAAGTTTGACGGATTTCCCATGTTTTGGATTGGAGAATGCCCTGAAGTTGTGTTTGATAATTTGGTTCTAGTTTATTTTTATGTTTATCATTTATGTTGTTAGATATATTCCTGCAATGTCCTAGTTTTACGTTGTTCCAAGATTTCGGTAGTGATTCAAGCGTTCAGTTGTCTTCTGTTTAAAATGTCAGACAAGGTCCAAAAGATTCTTGGAAATTCAGAAACTGAGGGAAACCAAAAAAGAGTATGAGCTGCAGCCAGCACTCGCTTTACTGAAAGAAATGACGAGTACGAAATTTGTAGAAACTGCTGAAGCCCATTTCCGCCTCAACATTGATCCAAAGTATAATGACCAACAGCTAAGGGCAACTGTGAGTTTTCGGATCTTGTCGGTCAGAGATATGTTTAGTCTTATCAATGCTTAAGCACTATATTATATTCGTCCATTTGTTGTGGAATTCTTCTACTAGGTAAACCTGCCCAAGGGAACTGGACAGACTGTTAAAGTGGCTGTTCTTACTCAAGGTAGTTCCGGTTCTCAATTTCTCACCTCTGTATTCAAAGTAATTATATCTGTCATTTAGTATGAGCTAAGGAGATGTATAAAGTTAACCATGTATTTGAACCTAGTGGATACAAGTTGGGAATTTCAACCTAGAGAATAAAAAGTAGAGGACCATAACTATGCTGGCAATTTCTGCATTAGCATGTATTAGGCAGGTGGCCCTTAGTCTTGAAACTGTTATCTGAATTCTCTCTAGGTAAATTGTTTTGCTAATTAAGCCTTGAAGGCCAAAACGAGTCACCTTCACTGAGAGGGGTTTTGTTCTCTAATTCTTTTACCTTGGTTGAAAAAAACAGAAGAAATGCTTGCTTTGCTGAAGTGGGGTTTTATTTTCTGTCAAGGGTGCATTTTTTCCAAATGATTTAGTTGGAGGGTTTAGTATAGTATTCCCTTTTCGGTCTTCAAATTGGATTGGAGCAGTATCATTGCTCCTGTAAGGTGTAGTCTGAATATATATTTTCGTTTGCATTTTTTCCTGATGAAAAGGCAATCTCTTAGTCATTTGGGTCCAAAAGAGGGAAAACTTTTGTAAGTTTTTTAGGAATTGTAAGATTTTCTTAAGTCTTTTTAAGAGTAGTCATAAATGGAGCATGTTGTTTTAATATTTAGTCTTGATCTTTTGTTACTTAGGATGTGGGAGATGTACCACTGGCTTGATTTAGCTTATATACACAGAATTAGAGATATATATTCTCTAGATTTAAGCTAGTATGAAAAATGTGTTTGTATCTAATAAATTTGCACCTTCGGTATTTATTGTTTGCTCTCAATAGACATATTGTAGTTTGTTTGAATGTCTTCTACTTTTCCAAAAAAGTGAAATATTCTGGTTCTCATGTGACCCTTCATAATATGCACAAATATTCATGTTCTTTAAGCTTCTTAGCAACTCCTTGAGCTCATTTTATATGACAAGCAGGCATCCATTTGTGCACAAGTTATCTTATGGTTTTGGTTTCATATATTTCATGTCACGTATTATCTTCTTCAATATCTGCAGGTGAAAGGTTTGACGAAGCAAAAAATGCTGGAGCAGATTTGGTTGGTGGAGATGATTTGATACAACAGATAAAAGAAGGATTCATGGAATTTGACAAGCTAATTGCTTCGCCGGATATGATGCCTAAGGTGCTGCCTTCATTATCTTGTTCAATTAAATTATGTGTAGTGTACAGTGAAGTATGTTAATCATTTTCATTTTCTATAGCATCTATAGAAGTAAAGAATTAATTTGGGTCAAATCTAAAATGTTGTGTTCTTTGTTTGTTTTTTGGTTGAACTAGGGTTATATGATTGAAATGAGAAAACTAGTTTTGCTTCAGGAAGACAACTTGTCAGCTTCGTAGTAATTTGGGTCAGATCTAAATCCTGATGTGCATGATGGGATGCGGATGATTATTCTTTGGTTGATGTGGTAAAGTTCATGTTATTCATAAGTGAAATTAAAAGCAAAGAAATTGCATCAATATCTGAAAACATATCTTGCGGGCACCTAAAGCGCTCATATTATCTCATAATGAGACACCACCCACCAAGACTGAATAATTATAAATAAGAATGTAAAAGCAATAGGTGCTGCCCAGTTTTCCTTGTGACTTGTTCACATGGAGTTAAAAAAGCTGCTCAAGTTAGACTGACTTTTCGGGGTCTGCTTTTAGGATTCTACCAGCTTGCTTTCTTAACTTTTACCTTTTAATCATATTTTGAGTCACTGTTCTTTAACGTGAAGCAATTCACAATTTCTTTTCTGTATCTGTTGCTTCTGTGGTTTTCATCGGCTGGAAACTATGATCTCCAGTAATTTTTCTTCATACTGTATGTGCTACTGTTCTCAGGTTGCTAGCCTAGGAAAGATTCTAGGACCACGAGGGCTCATGCCAAATCCGAAAGCTGGTACTGTCACGCCTAATATACCACAGGTATGGTTTGTTTTGCGACATTTTCGTTTCCTTTCTGCACTTGTGTGGATATGCTTTCTTACACTAAACCCTTAATCTTAGCTATTGTTTTAGTTCTTTCCTGATGCCTTAATGTATATGCGTGGCATCTATATATCTGGCACAGTAAGAGTAATGAAATGAGGAAATCCGTAAGAAGAATAAACTGATATACTGACACACAGAAGAGGGTCTAATATTCAAGACAACCTACGGTGGTCATCCATGGTTGTACAGGAATGGATTTACTTGTGGCGGGGCAACATTACAAGGAGTTTGATTTCTTAGCCTACTGAATTAAAAGGGTTTACTCGTATTCTCTGTTTCAGGCCATAGCAGAATTCAAGCAGGGGAAAGTTGAATATAGAGCAGATAAAACTGGTATAGTTCATTTGCGGTTTGGAAAAGCCGACTTTCCTGAAGAAGACCTTCTCGTGAACTTGCTAGCAGCAGTTGTACGTTCTTCACTTCTTATTTCCTAATTTCGATTGCCATCTGAACTCCACCCACTTGGCCATGAAATTTAATCTACTTATATTTTTTACCTGGCAGAAATCGGTAGAAGCAAATAAACCACCAGGTGCAAAAGGTGTTTACTGGAAGAGTGCACATATATGCTCGTCAATGGGGCCTTCCATCCGGTTAAATATAAGGGCGATGCTCGATTTCAAGCTTCCAACAAATGCTTGAAGAACACTAACCACCTGTACACATGTTGTCGTTATATTGTTCATTCAGCCTCTTAGCTGCCACTGTCGAATATTTGCCAATGTAGTTAGTAAAGACGGCTGGGGAGAGTAAGGGATGAAGGCAGAGGGTGACCTCGATACGTTTGTATCTAGGGTAAGTCAGAGCATGCGAGTTTCATCTACTCTGAGTGAGAAAGGCCATGTACTAATTTTGTGATCGATATTATCAACTCGTCACTTTGGTTTCTTGTTTATGAATGAGAGAAATTTCATAGTATATGCGATGTTTTTTTTTTTTGAACGATGATATTATTTACATTAAGGAGAGTATATGCGATGTATATCAGGTATCGAGCTATTGATCTCAGTTGAGAGTCGGGACCAGGTGGTTGTTTAACCAGAGAACAATGCCACTGCAGCCAGCCATCATTTGAAACGAATCATTTCTCCTTCCTATTAAGTTGTAAGCCAAAAAAAAAACAAAGCTAAACGTACACAAAAGCTAACAGTCACCCTCCAAGACAGCCATCATTCTAATTTACACAGGGATGAACACGGGGTGTACTAAGCCACGCTTATGTGAGTGCAACTTTACGAAAATTCCTCATCGAAAGGTAATTGTTATTTCAGCGTCCCCTTTTTCCAAGAATGTTTCTGTAGCTATCGCCCTCACTCCAGTCTGAAATAAGAAAAAGGAATGAATTTTTGGTGAGTATCGCATATGTTCGACAAATTAATAGATACTACTGACTGCTAACTCTCAAGTAGAACTTTCACCTCCATTCGCCCATGAACCAGCATAGGGGCCAGTTTTTATGTTCAAAACACTGCACTCGTCACTGTAAACCAGATCTGGTAGCAACTTCGGGGTAAGCAAGAAACACCTGAATAACAGTGACAGAAACCAAAGCTTAAGTGACCTTTTACATATGATAAGCACAATTGGCTTTGTCCACTGCAAATTATAAGACAATATAATCATATAAGCTCATGTCCTCCATTGGTCACACAATCTTGCAATTTCTTTGGTTCATACTAGAAGCAGAAACCTTTTTGTTAACCTCGATATTCACTACTGTTAGGAGCAGCTAAAAGAGAAGTGCACGATGAGAGATGGACTACACATGTTATCCTTCCAATTTATAAAGGGAGCTGCCACACACCCAAAACATCATTTTGCACTACTTCCAATTAATAATGACGCATTATATAAGTATTTCTAGTTTCTCAAGTCGCCTTCTAAAACAGAGCAAAATACAGACAGATAATAATTCGCACCAAGAAACAGACACAGATAATTATCACAAGTTATGCATAGTTGCTCTTACTGTGGTGTATTTGGTTGAGATGCTGCTCTTACCAACTGCTGGAACATATTTCTTTCATTTATCGGATCCATCCCTGAAAACATATTAAAAACACAGCAATGATTTATTTTGAGATAAAGAAAATTGATTGGACGAAAAATAGAAGATAACACTCTGCTGTGCAACCAAACCTTGATTTATCTCATCAACCACCCTAAACGGGCAATTTGTAAGGTCTTGAAGAGAAACAAGATAAAGTATAGTTGAAACCGAACGCTCCTACAAATGGGAATTTGAAGGCCACAATAAGGCAAAACTGTTGTAGTCAAATCAATAACTCAAGAATACAGCAAGTGTAATACCCCTCCGGATTGATGGTGGGCACTGAGAACTTGTAGCTGCCCCGCTTGCCTGATGGCCATAATGTCAAACGAATGAAATTGTGTACAGAAGCAATGCATAACTTTTAAGCAGGTTACACATAACAAATCAGCAACTGTGATTTCATCTTAGTGCAATAGAACAAAAACAATATAGATACTACTAAGCTTGGAATCTATCAGAGTTATGCTGAACCAGGCTTGGAATTAGTCCTGGTTCCGACATAACTATGATAAATTAAATTACACTACTATGATAAATTAAATTACACTTCCCAACTTAAAACGACTAGTAGTAGCACCATGAAAGTACAGAAACAGGAACAAAATTGAAATTACCTGAATTTTACTTTTATAAGTATCCCATATTGGTCGAAGTCAATTTCATGCTCATCTGAGAAGAAACATGAAATTACAAAAGTTCAAAATAAAATAATAATAAAAAAAATACTTCTAGACAGTGCAATGCTAAATACCCAATAAAACTTCCCCTGCAACCGCCATCTCTTGGAAGTTCCTACTGAAAGTCTCATTTATCTGAGCAACAAGGCTTCTTAATGTTGGGAGCCAAGTTCCCTGCAAATAATTTACAATCAGGAAACAACAAAGATTATTAGCAAAACATACACTAATGCAAGTGGCATATATGCATACTGACATGAAAGAGGGAAATAAAGGAAAACGAAGAAACAAGAATATGAAAGTAGTTTGACATAAATATTTAGAATTTTAAAACTGTTCAGGGCTGTTGGTCTGAAAATTTATTCAACATGACCTTTTCAGACCTAGCAATACAAGTGAGTATTGGCAAAGGCCAAACTTGTCTAATTATTTTGGAATCTGTCGTTTGTGGCAAACTAATGAACTGTAGGAGGTTAGCAGCATAAAGAAACTGCTGTTTCCATGGAGATTGGAGACTGTAAAATGCATATAATTACAACCTAACGCCAAAGACCAAAACTCAGGTGAATTCCAAGTAACATAAGAGACAAGCTGTTATGGTAATAGAATGCAAATGTGATATGTTTATCCTGAAACATGAACAGTGGGTGCAGGCCTAAATAAACTTAAACAAAAGAAAATTTCAAGTCAATTGTGGTGGCTTTTCTGAAACCATCATAATCCATTTAACAATTCCCATCATCCATCATTGAGTGCGTCCTACAGTTTATTGTGGTGACTCTGGTTGGATTGGTTAAAGCAATAGTTCAAACGGCCAAAGTATTGTGGTCTAAGTGTTCATCGAGGAGACCAACATCAACTTGACAAAATAGTCGTTAAGGTAACAACTAAGCATCACTAACCTTCTTGCTTTCAGATTACCTACTTCAGCTATTCAGCTAAGCTACTCATTAAGGTAACAACTAAACTTGGCTAACCTTCTTTATGAAAAAATAAAATAAAACAAAGCATTACTCACTTTCAGATTATCCACTTCAGCTATACACCTACTAAGCTCTGTTTTATCAGCTTCCAGTTTCGCTGAATATTCTTCAATCTGTATTATAATTGTACGTAAGAGTGATGAACTTAAAAAAGAAACTAGGGGGAAAACAGCTACCAGAGACGGCAAAAATATACCTTCTGCTGACGGTCTTCATATTCTTTCAGTATATTTTGATTTAGAAAAAGAATAGAATTAGCTTGAGAAATATTTTCCTGTATAGCAGCTTCCAATTCTTCAATTGTAGTAGGCATCTGGAGACAAAACAGACAAAGAAATCAACTTTTTTTAGGTTACAAAAGAGCTGTTAAATTTTGAATAAAATAATAAAAGTGCAAATGGAGAGAGATTAGATAAACTACAGATTTTACATGGTTGACCATTAGGGCCATGTTCATATGAGAGGAACTTAAATGTTATAAGGAAATAGAAAGTGCAAATCCTGAGGCCCATGTCAATATTCCAATTGGTTCAATGGTTGAACCAGGTCGGGCTCATATGATAAGTCACAGTGCCCAGCTTGTCCTACTTATAAAGTTTATGCATGGAAGTAAGCTTTGGACAAATCCATAGGCTCAGATTATTAGAAAACCATAAAACTCATAATAGCAGATCAAGGCCATAGCTCCTTATCAATGTACAACTCAATCACAAAAGAAACACATCAAATTTAGTCCTAATAATTGCGCTTCATAGAATGGTGTTCTGTTATACCAAATAAGCCCATAAGCTCCCAAGATCTAGCTAAGAAGCTACTTGATTACCTTACTGTTTTTTATGTATCCAAATACTGGCTTCATACATAAGAAATTTCACACAATAAAGCAGCTAGACGTTTCTCTTGGTGTCAGGTCAACGGATCTTCTCAACGAACACTCCTATAGTGGTTTAGTACCCCGAAAGTTTACACGGATTAACAGTTTAGGACCTCATGTTCAAAATTTATTGTAATACTACATAATGCTACCTTTTATCGTCCATTTCACACACGCCAATCAATCAGCCAACAAGCCCATTATATGGATTTGGGTATGATTTAGATAAGTTGTGAACATTGGGCACTAAACTGATAATCGATGTAACTTTTGGGAAGTGAAAATAACTTCAGAACATTATATACAGCAAAACAAAAACACCTGAGCACCTAGCACACAAGTTTTTGATACCAGTTAACCAGTCGACTCACTTCACGGAATTAACTGGCCACCACCCACACTATATAGTTTGTGCCATTTACTCCTTATATTCAAGCAGAAGTTATATTTTCCATGCATTAGAATTAACTCATTATATAGAAAACCTCAAGAAATTCCTTCTGAAGTGCTGGAGTGATCATCGCAATGGATTCTGCATTCTTCTTGGCTGCTAAAAGTTGCTGTCGGCAATCCTCCTCTGCCTTCTTACCTGGACAAGAAGCAAAAAAGCAATAATTAGCATTACTGACATTGAGTTTTCTACTGTAAATCTTTAATCTTTTTTTTTTCAATAAGAAACAATTTTATTAGCAGGTGAAAATCGAAGACATATACATGTACTGATAATTCAAATGTTATCCTCTTTCTTTCAAAGGCATCCCTCTCTAGAAGTTCCATACTTCAGTGTGCGTAAGGACCAACGAATTGGATTAGATAACCAATTCAATATTCTGATTGTTTTTAAGACAAAAGAACTATGATAAATTACTTTAGAACAAAAATAATAGAGTGGCTACAATACATGCATGTATTTAATACATTAACCATCTAATTGTCACGTATGGTTAGATTTGATATTCTCTCTTTTTGGTGCATATATGACCGTTTAGATGGTGAATATATAAAATACATGTACAGTAGCCAAGTCCTAAAATTAAAGCACAATTATACACTACCAAAAAAAGTGAAAAACAACTTTATGTGTAGATCAGACAGTATAAACAACCGCACGGAATGGAAGAACCTCAAAGTGAAAGTAAGGAACCACTTACACTCCTCATGGTGCAGGCTTGCTTGAAGAGCAACCTTTTCATGTTGTTTGATATTAACCTCCATTTCTTTAATCTAAGAAAATGAAAAACAAGCATAAATAAATTAATTAGAACTGAGTATGAACAAATGCATATTATTCAGATACCCCATGGCACAAAAGCTTTACAATAAAAATAAACATGAATCATAAAAAGGCGTATGGTCTAAAGAGATTAAATCTAACAAAGAAATAATTCATTACAGTATAAGGCGCCACCTTTGTTTGCAAACTGAGTAAAAAAAGAACAAGAAAAAGTTTCAAACCATTCATGCCTAAAAGAAGGGGAAATTACATTCTACCTTAACAAAAAGCATTCACTTTAGTTTTATGATTGCATTTTAAGAGTTTTATGATTGTATTTGACAAACTGTCTACGATTTTAAGTAAACTTATTTGTAAATTTTGTAGGCAAACTCAGCATGCAAAAAAATAGTAAAACTCTCAAAGCAGCATGTTCTGGATCATCGTAGAAAATACCTTTGCATCAAACTCAATGACCATCATGTGCTTTTCAGCATAACTTTGTTTGAAAGAAACAGCCTCAGCAAGTAGACTCTGAAAAAAAGACAGCAGAGTTAAAAGTTTGAAGTAACCAAGTCCTAAAACACTTATATCTACCCCAAACATTGGTGTACAACTTAAACCAAACAAAGAACAGAATAAATAAATATGTCCCCTTAAGAATTTAATTTTAGAAGTGTGCCTAAAACCTGACCTTAATTTCCATTGCAGAATGGAACCTGTCAATCATATATTTTGCAGATTGTTCATTGAGCTTCGCCATACTAGTATCCAGGTCATCCTCCTTCTCCATAGATTCTAATTTCTTTTTCCTTTGTGCTGATATCACCAGAGTATACTCATTATGTAAAATGAACAAAAGAAATTAAATACAAAGCTTCTAAAGAGAAAACTTCTAAACCATTATTACTTACCAATACGGTTTTCTATTTCACGTTGTTTTCTCTTCCCATCCTGTACATTTCTGATAATCTCCTCCTAAAATATATATTACGTTGTTCCACATAAGTAAAGGAATTGCATGTCTAACCAAACCCAGTTAATATTAAAGTATAGTTTATATGTTTATAGCATTGAATGCCACCTGCTACACTTATTTCCACATACCCTCTGTTTCTGAAATTTTGCTGCTTCATTTTCTGCTTGTCTTTCCTCAATCTGAAGTGATCTAACAATATCCTGTAAAGCAGTAATAGATTCTTCAAGTTCCCTTTTTTTGGACATCAATGACTCAACTTCCCCAGTCTCCAAACCTGAAAGTAAAATGTACGACCTCAAATCTTTTACCAACGAAGTGTTTGGATTATTTGCTAAACAGAAAAGGATTTGCAGAAACATACCACACAAAAAGAGTTGAGAACGAGTGACTGATTCTACACTGGCAGATCTATGACCACCATATCTTGATACTGACCATCGGTAGTGATTCTCAGGGGTCCAAAAATCTAAAATCCCTAACTTCGAAACCTCATCAGCCCTCTGATCCGTAGTCCTGGACCCAATATACTGAGGAAAAAGGAAGAAACACAAATACATGAGCATTTTTTTATAATAAATTACATGCACAAAAGTTATCAAAATCAAAACACTACCTAACAAATTTCAAACACCGAACTTCATACGGTTGACCTTAGGCGTGGCAAATCGTCATTTTTGTTTATGTACAATACAGTCAATCATCACCAACTCGTCTAATTGATCAGGTCAAGTTACTTAAACACTAACCTCACCCATTTATTTATCACGTCCTGTTTGGAATGATACGGATATATTGTGAATTAGAAACTTGAAACTAAGTTCCATTAATTTCTAATTAACCCGATCACTTATACATTCCTTAAAGAATTGAATCCATTAAGTATGGTTTATTAATAAACCATATACTATAATTTTATAGTTTACATAAGGACTCATACAATACTTATTGGTATATAGTACAACTAAAACGGGCTTATCATGGAAAAGTTATTTTCCTCATGTTTGACACTACCCCAACCTGTTTACCAGTTGTCTTATCATACAACATACAGGTTCGTGTTAAGTAATGGTCACCAAAACCCGTTAACCACATCTTGGGTTCAAGTCGTGTAATGGAATCATGTACATATTTTAGCGTAGTTGAAGTCAACAAGTGCACATAAAATTGTGAACATATATTTAGCACATTATTTTAAATTTTATAACTTTTGCCTGAAGTATATAAGATAAGAGTAAGCTTGGGAATCATACTGATCTATCCAAGCCAAATTGGCTAATCAAAACCTCCTTCACGGCAGTAGGAGCATCAAAAACTTGGTCAAGCCGCGAATAGATCTCCAGTGCACTCATCTGCTCATAAAACACGGAAGTAAACAATAAAAATGTTAACGAGACTAGTTCAAACTTTTTTTTATAAAATATAGCACCAAAAACACACACCTGCTCAGAAATTTGAAAGGGTTCTCTGTGACAAGTTCCATTTCCCGTATAATTTAAAACTGGAACATCAAAGGACTTGAGATTTTTTACCAAAAAGTCCCGGTCACGAGAATCTTGAGTTATGAAAGACTACAAAACATGAAAAAGTAAGATCAACAAATAGGTATTATTAAGCCAACAAATAAATACATGTTTGAGTAACATGTGGAATTCTTTTATGATACTGTGCTCCTAAAAAAACACATAACTATACTGACTCAAAGTAAATTCGAAGTACAACAGTGTATAGGTTACTGGCATCTACCCAACCATCCGCACAAACACAAGCACACACATACACAAACAGAGATTTGGAAAGTAGAATGGTTATATTAAAAACTTAAACAGGATATAAAGCACCCCAAACTTAGGTAAGGAGTTAATTTACATATGTAGTTAACACATGGCTTCACAGTTCTATGCAGGGGAAAGTTGAGATTTAAATCTTGGTTAGAAGGGGGAGAGTTAGGGTAAAGGCTTTAATGTTGCATCCAAACTCACCTATGAGGGTTTAGCATGGATTAGCCAAGATATGTGACATGCCAATGAAATGATCTTTCATCCCAAAACTAAGCCTTCATTAAGTTATCTTGATTACTTTCATCTCTTGCCTTCACTTTGTGAATTAATAAATGGCCAAAATTGTATAGACAACAACTGTTGTAACTCCTTTCATCTACCTTCTTTTGTGTACCCTTCCCAAGCAGCTCCCCCAGTTTATGAAACCAAAGTTCTGATCAGATTGACAGATACACAGGTATAAGCCTTATACCAAACAAACTTGGAAATTCTAGGGGCCCATTTGGGATTGCTTTTTAGCGCCCACTAGAAGCACTTGTATCAGAAGCACAAGAAAATTTTTATTATACAAAGCACTTGAAGGCTCTTCTAGGAGAAGAACCTGGTAGACCTGGTGGCCAGGTGCTTTCCAGAAAGCCCCAAACAGTGCTTTTTGAAGCCAGGAGCACTTTTGGTTACTTAATATTGCTTTTGGCTATCTGAAAGCACTTTTAGCCCTTCCAAAAGCATTTTCAGACAGGCCCTTAATCACGTAGGAGTTAGAAGCCTGACATTTGATGTTAGGTAAATACAAGTAGATTAAAAAAATCTAACATAAATTACATAATACAAATGCATTTACCTTCCACATGTAATTAGGAACATGACCACCTAAGTAGTCAGCGTGAACTCGATCTGGCACATTAACCTGAGTATGCATGCACCCAGAGGAGCATTATCAATAATTTGTAAATTCAAATTCTTCAGTGAACACGACAATGTTATGATTTAAATACATACCTCAAGCAAAACAGGGCCATACACCTCCTTATTGAACTGATGACGATGTTCTTGCAACCATTTATAAGCATCAACTATTTTATCTGCTCCAGAATTTTTTAATACTTGTAAGAGTTTACCATTTTTATTTTCCATCTCCTTCAACCTGAAAAGGATACAGTAAACGATGTTTGAATTAACAATACAAAGGCATGTGGACAGGATTTGACGTTGAAGCAAATATTACTTATCCAGGCAGGTGTTTAGGGAAAGTTTCTTTTGATTTAAAAATTTTTCCTTCTCCGACTTCTTATCCCTCTTTTCCTTTGCAGAAACTTCTAGATCCACAATTTGAGCATGCAATCTCGCCTGATCAGCAATATTTACTCAGTAACGGGAGGGAAGAACTTAAACAAATCATAAGTCTAATAACCAGCAAAAAAAAGAAACATGTTAGTTTACAAATTTAAAAATTGAGAATAATAATCAAATGACTCTAATAAACAATTGCGCTACAATGTTCATAGGAAACAAAACCAGAAACTAGGCACATATTTGATTGAAAAGACTAATAAACAGTGTGCTAACTGTTCCTAGGCAAACAAATCCAAAGTCTAATAACCCAACAAAACTTGATTGAAAAACATTGGCAAGGGAACCATGACTTCTCAAAACTGGTTTGCACAAAAGTAGTTTCATTCATGTTAATGGCTAAAAATCTGATCCATTTATGTTAATCACACCAGGGACTGCCTGAAGATCCTGAAATTTTGAGACTGAATCCATAACTTACAATTTCATCTGTAGGGGCCGCATAAGGAGTCAGATTTTCAAGTTCTAGTTCAGCAGCAGCTAGATCCTCTTTTGCTTTTGAGATCCTTTGTTGACGAGATTCTTCTTGCTTCTTCAATTCTTCCATTTCGTTGTATTTTTCTTTTATTAACACTCCCTATAAACATGTGGATGAAATTGAAGCACAATAAAAATTCAATTATCCACACTACAAACTAGGGAAGGGCTAAAATCACATTAAGCAAATAAAGTACCATGTTATCATACCAAGCGGTTCACATTTTCCAAAAGTCTCATTCGTTTGTTTGCATTTTCACTAATGTTTTTTACTACTTTTGTACTCTTAGACTCCATCACCACTCTCTCTTGTTTTTGTTTCCTGCAGCAGGTAAAACATTATTACACTAGAAAGTAAAATAATAGCAAATCATTGCAATAAACAGACTGTATATCTCATGTCAATATATTGTGCATGAATATATCATCTAAATGAAGTGATCGTACTCAATAGGTTCTTTCAGTTGATTTAGAGTTCTTGCAGCTTTCTCCAACTTCTTCTTTGCATCCTTTTCCTGCTCCATAGCTTCCATGCATTCAGCCTTCTTCATATCATACTTCAGCCATGGCAATTTTTTTTTCATGGTATCAGCCTGTAGATGACATCAAGAAGAAATCTCAGTTCCAATTTAATTATGTGGGAAGCAGAAGAGCGTTTTCTCTTTGGGGGATGAGGAGGGGATTATCGAGTCAGATGGAGTTCAATTTTTTTTTTTACTACCTTGAGAACTATAAGGGAGATGGGATGAGGATTTATGGGATAAAGTCGAATTCTCATTGTCGCCATTATGGGCTTCAGTTTCACCTGCATTTGGGGATCTAGCTTTCCTTCCTATGGTCTGATGAACCACATTTATCTTTCAGTGTTTTCCTTCAGATGTTTGGTTTGTGAGGTTCTGTGCTATTTTGTGGATGGTGAATCTGATTGTATTTGAGTATGTGTACTAGCGCTCAATGGATATCTTGTCCACTTCATTGTGTGTGTATGTGTTGTAAAAATCTTTACTAAGAGTTTGTATCTTATCATAAAAATACACTGTCATTCAGTTCATATAACAAAACCAAAAAGACAAACCTTTGCAAGAAGTTCCTCTCTTTGGCGGACACGCTCAACATCTTTCTCTTGTTCAGCATTCAGTGCCTTCAACTGATTCAAAGTTTCTCCATTTTTTTCAACGGCCTAAATCAAAAAGACAAAATGTCTAAATAACGTGATAAAGCTAATTAACATTGTATAACATAAGGACAAATTAAAAACCCACTTGCTCAATTCTTTTCAATTTCTTGCTTTGCTCAATAAGTGCACGATGTTGGATCGGCAATTGAGGATCTCCTACAGCCTTTTCAGTCTCTTCTAAAAGTTGCACTGGAGATAATTTGGCGAACTCACAGACACGATCTTGTGGTAAAAACTACAAGCACACCCCCAAAAATAAAAAGGAGAAAAATGATAAAAAAAAAAAGAAAGAAAGAGAGGAAATTACTGACCTAAATTCATAATTTAGCTCCAAAATTGTTAGCAATAGTTTCAAATAGCATCATAAAAATAAGTTAAAACTGAAATATCTAAGAGGGAGACAAATAACAGGAAATCAAATAAACAATGTCATATCCATGCATTAATACACTCGCAATAAACAACTTGACAACTAGATTGTTATTATATGTGCATCCCCAGACAACCTTTACTACTACAACATATAATTTACCCATTCTTCTCAACATTAGTCCATTCAGAAGAATTTGGAATGGATAGGAATGCTCAATTAAGATGAAAGACAAAAGTATACCCCTAGATAAACCATTATTTAGCGCACGCTCTAATCAAAATAAAAAAGGAGTGGCATTTCAAACAGGATCATGCAACAAAGGATCTCAATTTTACTAGCACAGCAAGTACAAACAATGGAATGCAGAAGAAGTGAAATATAAAGGTCTCTTCCAATAATTTACTGCCTATAATAAGACTGAACCAATGCACCGCTATATGAGCAAACACTCCTCATCTTTCTCAACTTTAAGAAAATACTTTGCATCCTTCCTATAATTTTAAAGACCGAGGCGCCAAATACAAAAAAATAAAGCCTCAACTTTGTGAGGATATTGAGTAACAGTTTCTACAATCTATTGCAGTCCTTACTAAGTAAATTTTCTGTCTGTACATATACTCTGAAACTGTACAGTACCAAGTTTGTAAAAGTACTGCCTATTCTATGCAAGTATAACCTTCAAAATGTTGTCTTCTACTAAAAACTAAAAAACAATGAAGAATACTGATTAAGCTTATAAATTCAACAGTCACAAAATTCATTTACAAGGTCCAGATATTCAAAAGGAATATTAACAAACAAAAACATGTGCATGCATATCAAAAGTCATATTGCATCCACATATAAAAGCTACAGAATTAAGGCACGCCCTGATCTGAAGTTAATTATTAGAAACAAACTCACTTGAGTTAAATTGTTGACTTGAACATTAAACCTTTGAGTGATTTCAACCACATCCTTTTTAGGCACCGCTCTTCCTGAAATACAAAGAAAACTGATAAATCAGTATTTGATATTACTCCTGTGCCTTCTTAATAAACAGTCTTAATTTGGAAAGTAGTTTATTTCCCTTGATAATGCATGATAGTGAATCAAGACATATCATCCACTTTTCCCACTGTCTTGCAGACTTGTAATTAAAAGTTAAAACTGATACAATTTGAAAAGAAAACAAGCTTGTATACAAGTACCTCACTTATGCTGAATGAAGACAAGAATAAGTGCAAAATAGGAGCTACATGCATGGAAGCACAATTCTTGGAATGGAAATTAATGCATAAGATGATTTTCAGAAACTACTATAACCCGGGTCAGAGCATGTAGGTTAAACATCCTCCGTTCTCTGGGAAAATGTCAGTTAAACATGATACTTTAAGGGGCTACTAACAAGTATACAAACACTTCTCTTAATGGCTATAAGCCACCTCAAGCTATTGCTTAAAGATCACTGTTTGTTGGTCCATAATATATTCAAGAGAAATGATAAAATAATTAACTTTTTACACATGCAAAACTACTTACCATTGTATAACCATTCAGACTTGTTACGTGTATCAATCTTACGCATAATTTCAATATGCTCCTCTTCGGTGTCCCCTCTCAAGGTTATTTTAATATAACCGGACGCTTCACCACGCTTCACATATGCTCCAACACTGGTCGCCCTTCCAAGTAGCTGTAGTTACCAAACTCCTCTTCTTTATATATTGTTTACCAAAAACAAACTTAAGAAATGCAACAAAACACATTCCCTGATATTAACTAACCTGAGGCTCACCACCAAGACCCAGTGCTATTGCACATACAAGAGAACTTTTTCCAGCCCCATTTGGTGCAATTACAAGGTTTAGACGAGGGGCCGGTTTGCACATTATGTGACCAAAGGTCATAAAATTATGGAGTTCAATCTTAGTTATGCTTCCTGGCTTATAGTCATCTTCACCCCTGAAAGAAAGAGATGATAAGCATTAAACCTTGACATCATTGCTGAACTAATCAAAACAACACAAAGGAAATAAATTTCACTATCACATTTTCTGTATACCAGAAAAAATTGAATAGTATCTTCTTGATTTAACACACTACGAAGTCAGTTCAAGACAGCTAAATAGATATCTTGTTGCTTCAGCATTGACTCAGAATTTCTATAGGTCCCAAATGACAAAATTTTATATCTTTACCACTGTACTACTACTACATTTAGAAAAAAATAAAATTAAAAATAAAATTGTGTTAAGCAGAATAAGGTTTTACGGTGAATTCCATAATCCTCAGTTTAATTTCTTAACATAATAATGGAAGACAAAAGAAAAAGTTAAACATTTCATTTAATAATAATTAATAAAGCAAAAAATAAACACAGACATTAAATTTTCTGGGTAACCAAACAGACAGTAAGAAAAAATGCAATTAGAATTAAAAAAAAACCTAATTCTGACGAACTGGATACCAGAAAACATAAAAAGAACGTCAATTTCAAAGTCAATTTCAAAAGTGGAGTGAAACGAGTCTCCAGACCTTGTAATTTTGGGGCGCTTTGCGCGACTCTCCGCCATTCTTGAACTTTGCAGTGCTACTTTCTGATTCTTCGAGGAATTGGGGGTTTTGTGGTCAATATGTGAAACCCTAGGTGGTGATCGATTTGGGTCGGGGAAGTAAGTAAAAACCTAGGGCTTTGGGAAGAGTAAGAGAGAAGAATTGGCGCCAAAAGAGAAAAAGTGGGGTATGTGTTTTATAAGCCGCAGCAATTAGAGAGAAATGCATTTTTATTTTATTTTTGATAAAAAAAAAAAAACAGCGACTGACTTCGTTACGACATTGTATTATTTTTGGGGTAAAAAAAATTGACAAATACATTTCAGTCTCTTGTAATCATTATCATCACAGTGTGATATAATTCACCAACGTCAAAAATCAAAACTAAAACGTAATATATGAAACATGTTAAATATTATTATTTATGATATTTGAATCGACGAAAATCAAATAACAAAAATAAATGCAAAAAAAAAAAAAAATAAAAGTGAGTAGAATTTGAATCGATGATCCGATGATCGAGATTGAATTCAATGACATCCACAGATGGCTAAAATTAATCACTGGACTCCTCTATCCCTCTCTGCATGGCAAAACACACAAATATCTTTATCTCCTCAGAAAGAAAATCCATGACTCACACTTCGACTCTGTATTATATACTCTGTAATCTGTATGGCCATTACCGGCAGCATATGTTCATCACCAAACCAACATCCAACTCTCCCAACACTTCCACTCCCACCAATCCCACCACTCAAAACCCACCACCCTCTCCAACTCCACTTCCCTCCTCCCTCTTTCTCCAAATTTGGCGCCAACTGGGTCTCCAGTGACGCATTGGTCATTGCAGCCACGGCGGAGGCGCTGGCACTGGCCCAGGCTTCCGTGAAGGTGGCCAGAGATGCTGCGGCGGTGAGGGATGAGATTGTGGAGGCTTGGAGTTGTAGGGAGAGTGGGAATGGGAGTGGTGGGTTGGCGGTGAGGAGGAAGAGGAGGAGGAAAAGGATAAAAGGGTTGGAGGGTTTGGATGAGGAGAGGGGAAGGGGTGTTGGAGATGGAAAGTTGTCGTTTGGTTATGTGAGATGTGGGCATCTGAGCCCAAACGAAGAAGATGAATTCTGTCTCAGTCTCAAGGTACTACAATTTTCCTTGATTCTTTTAGGGCAAATTTGTACTAGTAAGTTTTATACAAAAGCCCGACAACGCTAAGTTTTAAACAAATATGCTTATGCTATGTTTCGAGATGGAATTTGCAAGTACCAAGGGATGTAGGTTAAATTGGTTAAGAATGCACTGCAGAAGATTTGGTTTGAGATGAATAAATACAGTACGTTTAAAGGGAATGCATATGACTATTTGAAAGGAGTCGTCATTTGTGAATCCTTGTTAATGTATTTGTAATCATCACGTACCGCATTTCAAATCCCTTCATCTAATGTTTTGTGATTCATTTGTATCTAATTTACTTGAAAGTTTGGTACTTGTAAATTCCTCATCATCCAAATGTAGCCTACAACGCGCCCAATTAAAGAAAAAGCCCTTGTGTTAGCCATCTGCCATGTTCGAACTGATTCTTACTGCACGAACTTCCTTTAGTGTCTCTCCTGTTGAAAGGTAGAGTGTTTTTGTAGTATAGACTTGAAGTGTGTTTCTCTTAGGTGTAAAGTTGTTATGCGCTTACATGTGAAAAGCCTAACTGCCATTTTGTTTCTCTATGGTATTATTTATGGGTGTTCTTCTATTTCTCGATTTAGACTACTGCATATTGTTATGCATCATTTGTTGTTCCAATTTGAGTTTGGAGAATGATTGGTTGGGTTCAATATATGAGATAGAGATGTGAACTGAAGGCCTACAGATGCTCCGGTTTGAAAATGCGATCATGAGATAGAGGCTCAAGGAAAAAAGGGTAGAGGAAGGCCTAGGAAGACTTGGAAAGAGACTTTAAGAAAAGACAGATTACTTGGAGCTAACACAAGACTTGGCACAAAACCGAACACGATGACATTTTAGGATTCATACAACTAACCCCACTTAGTGGGATAAGACTTTGTTGTATCGATTCTTACCAAGTTCAAGAGCATTATTTAAGAAATAGAGTTTTGCTATGGGTTACATTTTGTAAATTCGTTCACTTACTCGCCTTTCTATTACAAGCAATTCTCATCTCATAGGCATTCGTAGAACCGAACATTTAACTTTTAATGCCAGATGACACTGTATGTTTCTTAAACTGTACAGTTAAATGTTGTATATGATGATCACTACAGTTAGCAACATTCATCGTCCTCTAGTTTTAATTTTCTTCGAATCTGCTGCTCCTTGTAAATGATGCGACGGATATTATTCAATTGATGGTTGTTGCATAAACCTTAAAAGTTGTTTAAGTCTGCTAATCTGTATTTACACTTTGATTTGCAGTTTTTCTTTTTGTTTTCAATGCAATTACTAGGAACAGCTTTAATTAGAACTGTGTTTTGTTTTAAAACAGTTCTCAAACTACTTGTTTGCAGAGTTTTCTAATGCCGAAAAGTTAACTTTAGCTCTCCATCTATGAATGACCTTAATGACACAGGAGGGAGCAAGATTAGAATTGCGAAGATTAAGGGTCGTAGAAGCTGAAGAGCAGGAGCCGACCTCAAAGCAGTTAGCCAAGGCAATGGGAATGAAGACGAGAAGTATAGATAAGGTGCTTTGTAAGAAAAGAGAGTCACAAGAAAGGATCATCAGGAGCTACCGGGGACTCATTATCTCTGTTGCCAGCAGTTATCAAGGCAAAGGACTAAGCTTTCAAGACCTCATTCAGGTTCCTACACCTTTTTACTCCTGTCCAACACTTTCCGTAAGTTGCTCCCAGAAACTAAGTATCTATTTCTGCAGGAAGGAAGCGACGGGCTTGTTCAAGTGGCAGAGAAGTTTGATCATGAGCGAGGATGGAAGTTATCAACATACGTCTACTGGTGGATCAGGCAAGCTATTATCAGAGCCCTAGACAACAAGTCTAGAATAATCAGATTACCAGTGAGAAACTAACCTAACAAACCATTGTTCTTAAACAGTTGCATTTAGTTCCCTTCCGCTTTTTGATTGAGGTTGCCTAATCACCGAGCTATAGATTTTATATTAGTGACGTAATTAAATAGTTCTCTTTATGCGACTCCTGCCAGATAACCTTGATAGAAATGCATTGATTGAAAGATTACAGAAGTATGGTTAGTTTATTTGTGTAGGTAAACATGTGCGGTATGATGGCAAAAAATTACAAAAGCTAAAAATTCCTTCAATCAAAGATTCCAGTGGCTGCCTACTCATGATGAAATCGCTGAAGTGGTCAATGTGCCTGCTGCAACTGTAAAGCTTGTTTGTGACAGGAGCAGACTGCCAATTTCATTTGCAGCTCAAACGGTAATGGAAAGTGCATCAGTTATACACTTCATTAGTCGATCTTAATTTATTAGTTCGCATTCTGCTGCAGGAGATCATGCAAGGGCCAGAGGAGATGATGCCGGAAAAGATGCTTACAAAACAGCTAATGAAGCAGGACGAGAAGAAGCTTCTGAAGACGCTGAGCGATGAAGCATATGTATTGAGATTACACTTTGGACTCAATGGTGAGACCCCTAAGTCCTTTGAGGAGATAGGAAGATTGTTAAAGTTTTAAAGGGAGAAGGTTCGACAGATTAATGGAATTGCGTTATCAAAGTTAAAGTATACTAGCATTTTCGACAATCTAAAATTGTATATTGTATAATTTTTCCTATTGCTTGATGAACAAAATATGAAGATAGAGAAATGTACATAACATAACAAGAAAAGAAGGGGGTTTCTTATTGCATCGGTAATTCTTTTCCTGAACTCCCAGCAGGGTTAACAACTCTATCAAATGTTGGTGTTACAAGCAACATCTAGCTATGAACTTTGAACATTATTCTTGATGGACGATAGAAACCGCATGTTTTCAACAAAAACGACAATCTAGCCGGCTCACATGAGACACCCCTGCATGCAAGGCCAGTAGAAAATCTTACCTACATGCCTCAATCGATAAAGGAGAAGGTAAGAAGCAATGATGCTCTGCAAGTTGCAAGAGTCCAATTGCACTTTTGCTGTTCATCTATCAAAACATATACTCAACCTGGTATTGACATTATTTATGCAAAACCCCTGCGAAATCAAATCTTCAAATTTATGGATCAAGTTATACAATTGTACCGCAGCGGTCATCGTCTAACACTGGGGAATATCTCCTTAGTGGAATTGCAAAATGAGTCTACCTCGAGGTTCATCGTGCATGAAATAACAGTAAGAATTAGGAAGTGTTATTTGATCTCCATAAGTCGCATGCATCAAACATGGAGGGTTTGGCCAGTGATGGAAGTCGATATCAAAATAGCGAAACTTTGATTTCAATTTGGAAGACGTATATTCACTTGAAGGTGTAAGCTAACATACACTATACGCTATATTTAATGTGTTTGAAAGCCTTATCCTTCCCTGTGCAGATTATGAAGGATGTACAAAGAAGCTGAAGACAGGAAAATACAGACAGAATAACTCAACAGATCCAAACCAGTGGTTATCTGTACCATCTTGCTCCTCTCAAACATCTTAACCAGAAGAATCATGACAATGACGTGTCCCACCTTCGTCTTCAGTTCATCAAGTGAGCTAATTTTCATCCATTTAGGTCTTTCCTGCAGAATCAGAAACCACTTATCTTGGTAATGTTGTAAAAGAAGTAAAATACAGACCCGGAATAGTTCTGATACAATAAGATTGTTTTAGCATCTATTAATATATATCTATCCAGGTTTGAGAAATGTATATGTGAATTCCGCTTATACTTACTATGGAAGGGAAGCAAAATTACCTTCAGAGAAAACATTCCGAACAAAGAAGAGCCCTTAAGAGCACGATCATCAATGGAAGGCACATCATGAGGGACATTACTGATAAATAATCCATACAGTCCCATACCAAATATTAGCATGACTGTCCCAGCAAGGTAAACATCTGCATCGGAAGATTTGCATCAACATATAAGACTATACCAACGAAAATAAACATAGAAATATGGACATCATATGATGAGTTTTACCATGTTAAGAAAGGAGTGACTAATGCTGCTTACGCAGAAGTCACGATATTTATCTTTTGAAAGCATATTCGATAAACAGAAACATAAAGCAATTCTAGAAATAGGATTCTGAAAATTATACCGATAGCTTCAACAAGTCGTAGAACCATACGTCCAGTGTGAATCCCTTTGACACAACTAGTCCAGTAAACTTTATACGCATCCATTATATAAACACAACCCTGCAGATTCAAATGTAGTATATGCACAGATGTAGTCATACATTATGTGTAGTAATATAAAAATTATAGTTGAAATCGTAATCAGATCTTGAATGTCTATTTTCGTGGTAGGAATACACAATTTTTTTATTTTTTTTATTTTTTTTTTTTGAATCTAGTGTCTCCGGGTCTTTGACCCGACTACTCACTAGGCCACCCGCCTGACCCCACAACATTTGGTAGGCAAGAAACTCTAGCAATTGCTAGGTGGGTACCTTGAGAGGTGTCGAACCCCAGACCTCTTGGTAACAAACCAAGGGTCTGACCATTAGACTAAACATTTGGTAGGAATACACAATATGAAGAGAGAAATTACATTGAGAAAGCACAACAACGAACCAGCCAACGAACCTCCAACAGCAAACAGTGCCAAAAACCGGAAGTCAAATATTGTCTGTTCAACAATGGACACATAAAGAACGCTTAGAACAGATTGCTATACGCTAAAAAAAAATTTAAACAGATAAAGAAAAAAATGCACAAGTTTCTTAATTATTGCAGTTGGTACCTATAACAAAAAACCAAAAACAGAACATGAGGTAAATGACATTTTGGTAGTTTCCTAGCCATATTTAGTTTCCTATAGGCCGTTTATACACGCTAGACCGCTTACAGTATTTGTTAACAATCATGATTCGTTTAAGCCTCAAGAGGGATTGCCTCCCAAGTTTTTGAACGAAACTACGAGTTCATTTGCTTCAGTAGGACTAACTTATTGATTCTTCTTATTTCTTGGCAGCAATCTGTTAAACACTAATCCGTCAATTATCAAAAAATTCACAACTAGGACCTCTAAGCTATCCAAACCCCCTATGTTATTTTTCTTTTAATCAAAGTGAAAGAAATTCATTAGAGAGTACATGAACCCCAACATGACATCAAAAAAGTAACACAAGCTATGGAGGAAAAAAGTCACATAATCGAAGACTGTAAACGAAATGGTATCAAACGGCCCCTAAATTAAGAAGAACCTCCTCTGCAACTACAAAAAATGAGAGAAAGAAAGAGGAAAGTTCACTCTTTTGTCACATCCAAATTCCAAAAATCCCAATAGAACAATTAAGAAGCAAGTACAGTGACTGATACACAAATTAAAATTCAGTTACCCTTTCAATGGAAGACTCAGCGGAACGGGCAAACCGGACAAAGGGGTTGCCGTTGGAAGGGGCGTAGTTGAAGCCCGCCGGCTCGGGGGGTCTAGAGGACGCACCATTAAAATGGTTTGGTGAAGTTTCAGTGGAGGAGGAGACTACGGTTTGTTTTGGGGCCGTTGATTTTGATTCCGGAGACGGTGGGGAGCTCAGAGAAGAAGCAGCGATGGGACGAGAGAACCGTTTAGAGGTGTTCGACAGCCCGATGGGATGGATTGAGGTGGAGAGGCAGAGGGTTGAGGAGGAGATAGAAGTGAAGAGAGCCATTGTGTAGAGAGAGAGAGAGAGCGCCGCGGTGCCGGGGGGGGGGGGGGGGCGGCGGGGGAGAGAGTGAGAGGGGAGGAGTTTTGCAGGATGGAGATATTTTTTGCGCCTTTGGATGGCGGGTAGGGAGCGAAAGTGGCCTTCACGCGTGAAAAAGGGAACGTGGGACTTTTGGGCTAATGCTGGATGGAATGCGGAGGAAGAAGTGGATTTTTTGTCACTAACCAAAGTTGGAAGGGTGAGTTTGAGTAGAAATTTTTTGTCACATCGGTATACTAATTTTTTTTATTTAAGTTTTTCACAAGTTGTATTATAACATTTGATGTATCAAGTCGTACATACTGAAAAATCTCTTGAGTATGCAACTGGGCAACGACATTAATAGTGACTAGGGTTGGATTGTTGGTGATATCAAGAGGAACGCCTGTGGCGATGTAGAGGAGGAGAGGGAACTGGAGTCGTCACCCATGTGCACTTCTCATTCTATTTTTAGTGACAAAATAGGCTTTGCCCAAGATGCATTAGTTATTACTTCACCTTGTAATGTGCCTAAATTTGATCACTTTTAGGGTTCTTTAGCCTGTTATGTCATATTTAGATGTAAATTGAAACGAATAATTATTTGTCGTGACAAAATTGATGCTCATCTTTTGTTGGCCCTGGTCTAGTTGTTGGCATACCCTCACGTAAATGACTAATTTTAACTGTGTAAGATTTATATATTTCATGCTTTAAGTGCATATTCATTGTGTTTATTAAGATTTTTCCTTCAACAGCTTTGGTATCCGATTTCAAAGACCTTGGCTGAGGAAGCTGCTTGGAAGTTTGCAAAAGAGAATGGACATTGTTACAATAAATCCAGGATTGGTGATTGGTTCTCTCTTACAGTCAACTCTGAACACAGGCGTGGAACGTGTTCTGGAACTTGTAAACAGTACTCCTGAGCAAGTATTTATAAAATTTCATTACTTGTTGATATATTGCATGATTTGATCAAGTAATCATTCCTACTGGAAAACCCATTTTGAGGGCAGGATCCACTACATAAGAGAAGCATAATACACAGATTACACTTTTTCGACTAAATCCTCATCAGTGCAGAAAACTCCTCATAGGGATCCATGAAATTTCATGAGTTTAGAGATTTACTCTTTCTACTTGTGCATACAGACGAGTGGACTATTAAATCCTTGTCTCCAATTATGTAAGCACTGATCCTTGAGCACATCTTGAATAATGGTTTGGAGGCATTATCGTCACTACGTTGACATGTCACTTTACATGGGTAATGTACTCAGTATATATGAGATAAAGACTACGGTGAATTGGCGATATATATTAGAGTTTCTTGTAAAAGAGAAAGGGTATCATGGAGGTGTATATATAGTGATCATAAATTAAAAGGTCATGTTTGAATCTCATGCTCTCTGCGATACCGTACAATCTGCTAAGAAAGTCTCATTGTTGATATTTAATTGATGCACGAGCCGAAAGATTTCCAAATATAACTAATAGATGAGTTGATTTTAGAGATGTTGCCACTGCTCATATTTTCGCCTTTGAGAATGCTTCGGCTAGCGGGAGATATTGTCTAGTTGGAAGAGTAACACACTGTTCTGACACAGTGAAAATTCTGCGGGATCTCATCCATGTTCTCCAGCTTCCAGAGAAGTTGCTATGCTAATGCAATCGATTTTTTGCATGTTACTCTTTTTCTAAGTTTTAGAGGCACTTTTAAGGATGGAGCAGGTTTACAGGCATTATCGGTACCTTTCTATCTGAGGTTTTAAAATTTCCGTCTTGTATATTATTTGCAATATTCGCGTCTGAGGATATTTTGGGTTACTACAACATCCTATTAATAATATACAACATCTTTATCAAGCCTATATCGTTCTAGCATTTGAGAAACTTAAATATTTCATAAAGGAATCCCTGCCTGTATTCTTTTCCGTTTTCAGTATTTTTGTTTTGTTCGATTTTCCGTTTTCAGTTTGAGTCTGAATCTTCACTTGTTTAAAAGATGAGCTATTTGAATGGTTTAAGATGAAGGTACACTGCAATTAGTACCTTCTAATAACTCGCTTGTTCGTTAACATGATGTACAAACTGCAAGTGAAATGGTCTGAAGTATAGTGAGTAATGTGCATATTCTTTGTAGTTGCTAATTTGTGTAACAGATAATTTGGACTTTAACGTCTCTTTGTTCTTCACAGACGTGCAGATGACAAACCATTCACACCAACTTACCAAGTATCCAAGGAAAGAGTCCATATCTTGGGCGTAAAGTTTACTCCTCTGGAGGTGACTTTGAAGGATACCGTGGAAAGTTTGAAGGAGAAGAGCTTCTTCTAATCATGGATCACGTTGGACTTATCGTTATCCTATTTTATCAACTATGTAAAAGTTTGTTACTGAAAATAATTGGTGCTTCACAAAACTCTTACTCGAGACCCCTTTCTGTGAAGTTTAATTGTACTTTGGAATTTGTTTCAACTGCGTTTTAAATACTGAGAAATTTGAAGTTTGGACTTTGTATTGGATCCTGAACATTCAGACATCACAGGTCGAAAATGTATAAGTAGAATCCCAACTCAACCGCTCTGAGTTGGAAGACAATAAAGGGACTCGAAGCAATCCAAGTACGCCCAACGTATGGAGTGGGCTAACTCGACTCTTACTTATTTGCACACCAACAAATGTTGGTGAAAAAAAATCAACAAGTTTGTCAATCTCTAATGTAACAGGTTTGTTGGGAAATTAACTTAAGTTTATAACTTTCCCTCGCATAAACTAGTAGTCCATTTATAAATATATGCAGCAACAAACACTCCCGGACACATTTTTTGTATCCATTATTGCCTTTGTTTTTGTATAATCTGTTGTCCAAGGTTGTGAATGTGATGGCACTTCGAACTTTCGTTGTGGTCGGCATGGCGGCAATGACTTGGTGTGCAAGATTGTCTGCTCCTTGGCTAAAGTAGTCCGAATGTGCTTATGTATAAACTGGAAACCGAATTTTAATGTTTAAAACTGCAAGAGTTTCTCACTCACTTTTTATTTTCTCTCTGTATTCTCCTCCGGGTGCACATACAATGCATGACTATTGCCTTCACTTATAGGCATGCACCAGCAATTATGCCAAGACCAAAAAGTCTTGAGTTCACATGGCATATTCAGCACCCCTTTGCTGTACCTAGCCTATAGAGTGCAACCCTTTTCTCCATTTGCCATTTAATGCATATAAAAGAAAGAATGCACAATTGCATGCAAGCAAACACAAAGTCAAGACCTACTTGCTTCCAACTTAGCTTGTGGCAGTCACCATATCTTCTCTTGAAAGAAGACTTCCATGCCACAACCGAAAGCCAAATACAAAGTCACAAATGGCTGCTGCCATTTCCTTGTAGCATTCACAAAGTTACATATGCAAAATTGTTGCCAACTCATAATTATATGAGCCAAACACAACAGGATTGTATATTGTTAACCTTGAATGGGTGACTGGCATTGTCTCTTTGGAGTATCTCATTATGAATAGTGCAGACCTTTCAAATGTAGGATTAGATTGGATCGAAAAGCTTAAAAAACCAATTAATTGGTGTCTTGAAGAGCCGTCTTTATTCTGGACCTATCGAAAAGCTTAAAGAAACAAATGCTGCTCCTTCAAATACATAAGCACACTTGCCGAACCTTATAAACACTGTGCCTTATTTACTTTATATGCAACTACACATATATCGTCAATTTGGCCATTTAAATTTAGTTCCTGCCAACACTTGTTTAGTCAGCGTTCATAATAAACAGTGATTTGCCACTACAAAAGTATTCAGATTTGAAGAAGACAAGTTGCCAACATTGACCCTTTAATGTCCAGCTGACTTTTCACCATGAAAAACACAATACTGAACCAAATTAAGCTTATAATTCTAACCTCTAGAGAGAGAGGAGAGAGAGAGAGATGAGTACCGGAGAAACAAAGACTCTGTGTGTAACAGGAGGCTCAGGTTACATAGCATCATGGTTGGTGAAGCTCTTATTGGAAAAGGGTTATACTGTCAAAGCCACTGTTCGGGACCCAAGTCAGTATTTCTAAACTTTTCTTACGTCATGTTCCTTTTCAAGCAGTTCTCGATAATTTTCTTTTTCAAATTCCGGGTTTTGTATATGGGTTCATTGGCCGAAAGAAAGTTTCGGGATCTTTCGGTGTAGTTCTTCATCTGGAGTTCAAGTGTAGTTCTTGAAGTCCAGTTAAGGCAAGGCGTTGACCTGTTTTTGACATTCTTGCTAGCCGTTAGTGATCAAGTTTTTTAGCCAAAACTTCCTGCATAAATGATAGAGTTGAAACAATTCGTATCAAGTTTGTGTTCTCTTTCTTTGGACACTTCTTGGCTCTTTCCTCGGAAGAAGTCATTCCTCTGTCCCTTAAATCACAGTTTGACAAGTATGCAGAAATAACTCGTTACAAACACATAAAGAACAATTTCTGTACACATGAAATTGTGATTGGCAGGTGAGTAAGACGATATTTGCAATTGGAGGAACCACGTATTTGCCTTCTTTTTTTTCGGTTATGGATGCTGTGGTCGGCATAACTCAATTGCCAATTGAACCCTCGGCAATGACTGTAGTCAATGTTTGCTACTTTTCCTTGCACACATATCCCCATCTAATGTGGTTGTAGTATTCTTGGTCCAACTCACAGTTCTCCGTTCATGTATGCTACAGATGATCCAAAGAAAACAGAACATTTGCTCTCACTAGATGGAGCAAAAGACAGGCTGCATTTGTTCAAAGCAGATTTACTGGAAGAAGGATCTTTCAATGCTGTAGTTGATGGATGTGAAGGCGTTTTTCATACAGCATCTCCTGTACTATTCTCGGCTACTGACCCACAGGTTTGCCCCTTCACTTTGTGCTTCAAATATTCTATCACACATGCGTGCACGCGTAGAAAACTGACATAATTTCAAGACAAATGATGTAGAAACCGACATGATATCTCTCTCCATATTTCAGGCAGAATTAATTGACCCAGCAGTGAATGGAACACTTAATGTTCTAAAATCATGTGTGAAATTTCCCACCGTGAAGAGAGTGGTTATAACTTCGTCTATGGCTACAGTAATGATGAGTGGAAAACCTCTGGCCTCTGATGTAGTTGTGGATGAAACTTGGTATTCCGATCCACTTGTTTGCGAGAAGTACAAGGTATGTATGAATGTTCCGATAATCTCTTTTTTTCAATTTTTACTTTTTTTTTCATTGTTAATTTGTAATATTTCCATGTCCAGTCGAAACAAAATCTAATCTTAGGACCAAACTAGGTGTTTGGGTGCAATTATAAAAGAGATGAACAATGCTTGTATTGTCTGCCTTATTCTTTTTGTTCAGCAATGGTATATGGTCTCCAAGACTTTAGCAGAAAAGGCTGCCTGGGAATTTGCTAAAGGAAATGAGATTGACTTGGTTACAATACATCCGGGGTTCGTGATTGGTCCACTCTTACAGCCGACTCTTAATCTCACTGTGGAGCCGATTCAGAAACTCATCACTGGTACACTTCGTAAAGTTACTAAGTTACATGTGTCAAAACATTTGCGTAAATTTATCCGACCTTATCAGCCGGTTGCTTCCATTTTTATTTTCCACTAATTTTTTGATGCAGGCAGTTGATTGTCTAACGTTTCTCTTTTGTGCAGGTACCAAACCAACTGTTTCAAACTTCAGATTCGTTGATGTTAGAGATGTTGCCTCTGCTCACATTCAGGCATTTGCAGTTCCTTCAGCAAGTGGAAGATATTGTTTAGTTGGACATGTTGCAGACACTTTCGAGGTTCTGAAGATTTTACGCGAACTTTACCCCACTTTGCTTCCTGAAAAGTAAGTTTCATATGCAGAATACCACAAATTTGTGCCTGTTTACTTTACCACACATAATGTCATGTCTTTATTTAGAATTAAACATGGTCAACTCTGCTTGAAGGTAAGTTCCTTCATAGAGTAGACATAATAACGTTTGGACTTGAAAATGAAATATGCAACAGTTAGGAATTTCTTACAAGAATTACAGATGCTTGTACAAAAATAATTTCAATTGTGTAAACCGAAAGCTCGACATTGCCATTACAAGAACTATTTCTAAGGGATATTTTATTTATTTTTGGTATTGTTGGCAGATTTGAGATTGGCAATACTTCAGACCCAAAGTATCAAGTATCCTCAGAGAAAGCAAAAGGATTGGGAGTTAGTTTCCTCCCGTTGGAAATCACTCTGAGGGACACTGTTGAAAGCCTGAAGGAGAAGGGCTTCTTGTAGATTTGATTTATCCAACTGGGACAACAATTCATCTTCGGCAACTGAAGTTTGATTTCTACTTAAGTACTCCAAAGAGATGATGAAAGTCATATGTTTCCTGTTTCAAAGAAAATAATATGGCCTAGCTGCCATGCACGTTCCATTGAGATTAAGTTATGCGTCACTTCGGTACATTCCTCTCCCAAAAAATATTCATGTCAGGACTTTTTTAGGCCATCTCCAACCGAAGGAGGGTCGGAGGGCTCTTTTTGGCCCTATAGCCATCTAAGAAATTAATATTTTAATGAACAGTGCATGGTCATATTTCTTACCATCTCCAACCGAGGGGCCAGAGGGCTATAGGCCAAACATAACCCTGTGACAAAAAACCATCTCCAACCTAGGACCAAAATGCCAAACATAATTTATTATTTAAAATTAAAAACTACAACTTAAATTTAAAAACTACAACTTAAATTTAAAAAGTACAAATTAAATTTAAAAACTACAACAAGTACCTATAACAGAATCTTATTGCATATCTTTGGGCCAAAATAAGCATGTAGTAGGCTTTTAAGTTTTATGTTGTTAAATGTTTTTAAAAATGTTGTTTAAGTTTCATGTTATTAAATATTTTATATGTTGTATAATTTTTATGTTGTTTAATGTTATTTAATCTTGTTTAATATTATTTAATATTGTTTTATGTTACTTAATGTTATTTAATGTTGTTTAATTGTGACAACCCATCCTGAATTTTACAGAACAAAAGTGGTATTTTGTAATTTCACTAATGTTGGGATGTTTGTTTTAAATTGGGTTGCTTTTAAACCTTAATTAGTGTGCCAAGGGGCCACCTTCTGTTTTTGTGTCCCCCATTTTCGTCGAGGTCAAATCTTTTGCACCCAAATTTGGTGTGGCATCTCTGTGGTCTCAATAAATGATTGACATGCAGTTATTATCTTAACTTTTCTAAATTTTGTTGTTATGAATTTAATATGTGTCAATCACTTATTGGGGCTACAGAGAGTCCACGCCAAATTTGGGTGCAGAAGATTTGATCTCAAACTCTCCCATCTCTCATCACTCTACAACTCTCTCTCTCCCTCTCTCCCTCTCTCTCCCTCTTCCGTCTCCTTTCTTCTATCAAATTTATGCAACTTCTTATGTTCTTCAGTGGAGCTGAATTTTGGACATTTTATAGTTCTTGATCAGATGAGCAACTTTTGTGGAGGAACTTTCTCGATCTGAGCCATGGAAAATGGGGTTTTGGAACTCATAACATGGTTGTCCAGTTTCCTGCGGAAATGGAGGCTGGGTTGGTTTTCAAGCATCTAGGACAATCGCACCGTTGTCTCTTTCTGAAATTTTGATATGTTTTAGATACTGGGCAGATGAACAACTTTCAAGAAGGAACTGTTTCTGTTTAAGCAAGGGAAGTTAGAGTGTTGAAGCTCCAAACATGACGGTCGGATTTCTGCAGATTTCAAAGCTGCCATGGTGTTTCGAAGTTCTGGAAGTATGTAACCGTTAGTTCGTTATGAATTTTTGATATGTTATGGAAGAGATGATGAGGAACAACTTCGATGAAGAAAGTACGTTGATCTGAGCAAAAGAAAATGGAGTTTCGAAGCTCACAACAGGTCTGACGGGTTGACAGACAAATGATGAACAGTCACATATCATACCTGAATTTCTGGAGTTGTACTGCTCCGATGGATCTCAAATTTGGATATGTTGTAGATCATGAGTTAAGGAACAACTTTCATGAGGATGGCTTTTCGATTTGAGCTACAGACGATGGTGTTTTGGTCTGCTTAAACAGGCATGACGAGTTTATGTTTTCTGGAAAATCTTTCCTTAAAGAAGGAAATGACGTTGTTGTTGATAGTGATATTATTGGGTAAGTTTCAATCCATTTTCTGGGTTGTTTCTTACACAGATTCTCATGGGAGAGAACACATTCATGAATGGAATTTACGGGCTTTCACGATGTAGAATAATGGATGGTGTTTTGCTTTCCTTCTTTCTTTGTTGCTCAGTTGCTGGGTTTCACAATCAAACATGTACACACACTGAGACACTTGTTTGCACGACTCTTCACCAACGGTGTAAGGTGAGTGGACCCCTTCTAAAATGCATGTTTTAATAGTAGAAATACATACATAAAAAACATGATTTAATGATCATGTTTTAGATAACGTTTTATGAGTAAATTGGATTTACCTTATTATGAGTATCGTGCTCATTTAGAATATTTTGGAATATCATATTTTCTATCGAACCCATATTCTTTATAGAATATTTGATGCATGACGATATAATATTTAGAACATATTTTTAAACACTTCTTTATAGTATAGATGATGAATGATTTTATACTATGAAGATGTTTTTGAGATTTATGTACCTATGTTTGGAAAGACTATGTTCAATGGTTTTGTACTTACCTAGTGGTCCTTATTCCTCCTACGGGCGAGGTTTATGGTGTTGGCATAGGGTCGGGAGAAATAATCTCTAGCTACGGGCTGAGAGACACGGAGCTGGCATAGGGTCTGAAGAAATTTCATCTGGCTACGGCACAAGGACGAGAAGCGGGCATAGGGCCTGGAGTTGAGACTGGACATTCACTAGTGATTACGCTATATACGAGTTATGTTTTGACAGGTTTTATGGCATGCTAGGGTTTTCGGAAAACCTGTTGAGTTTTCATAAAACCTGGGGTTAATATGTTGATAATTGTTTGAATATTATATATATCAACTTGGTCCACTTATATTTGTTTTGCGTCCTCTTCAGGACTTAGAATCAAGATGTACAATCCCAGTGTCAAAGCACTTTCGCATCGGCATCTTCGAGTCCTCTCGATGTAGGATCCACTCCTTTGTTCATTCAATTTTATATATATTCTTTTTAGTGTTCTAGATTAGTTGTATGCTCTGAACACGTTCCTCATTTTGCATATTAATTATAGTTAATCTTATAAGTTTTATTTATGTTCATTACTTTGCGTGCATGTTCGTATGGCTTCGTCACCTTCGGATGTCGGCCAGCACGTGCCTATCCTTGTGTTCGGGGAATATCGAGGTCAGGCGTGTCATTAATGACTTAGGAAGTTATAGGAAAAAAATAGAATTTTTAATTTTTTTTAAAAATTTTGTAAAAAAAAAATATCAAATATGACATCAGCGGCCCTACCTGGGGTTGGTTGGGTTGGGTCAGTCAGTTGGCCCTTTGGCCCTTTTTTGTCCCGTGTGGCCCACTAGCCAGCTGGCTGGGTTCGGGCTATTTGCCCCACTAGAAAAAAAAAGCCAAATGGCCAACCGGCTGGTTCAATCTAGCTAGCCCTGGGTCGGGCTGGATTTTTCATTATTAATACTTTTTCTGTCGGATATATTTGACAGTATTGTCCTCTTTAGTGTCGGATATATCCGACAATATTGTCCTCTTTTTTTTTTTTTGGATCAATTTTTTTTTTAAATTCCCCTTTTTTTCTTATAAATACTTAAACTATTCCTACATCATTTCTCACATAATTTTCACCCTTTTTAAATTTAAGTTGTAGTTTTTAAATTTAAATAATAAATTATGTTTGACCTTATAGCCATTTGGCCCTCAGTTGGAGATAGTTTTTGGTCACAGGGCTATGTTTGGCCTATGACCCTATGGCCCATCGATTGGAGATGGTAAGAAATATGGCCATGCACTGTTCATTAAAATATTAATTTCTTGGAGAGCCAGATGGCTAAAACGAGCCATTTGGCTAGCCTTTGATTGGAGATGGCCTTAGTTCCTTAGATTGATCGGTAGACAGCCACATAGGTGACTGGGCCTCAATGGTCATTAGTGAAGTTTCTGTTGGAAAATTTAATAGTAATATTATTATATTATATTTATTAATTGAATGGAAATTAGAAGTGATGCCTTTGGGTGAAAATATGTGTCTATTTTAATGCATAGTTTCAACTTTTGAATCTTCATGAATGGTTACATGCTTTCTAAAGAGGTATCTCAAATTCTATAAAGGGGTGTGATATCCACACATCCCATTTTACTTCTCACACACCTTTTTAATTTTTGGCCGTCGGATCAGATGAAATGAAGAAGATCAACAGATAGAAATTAACAGAGGGTGTGAGAAGTAAAATGGGGTGTGTGGATAGCACACCCCTTCTATAAATGGGGAAGACCCCTATAATCATTAAATAACTTTTACATTCACATATTCATACACATAGTGCACTATTGTTAGAGAGTTTTGTAGTGTCCCATTGAGTCCATATGAGAGTTTTCAACACAATCGTGGTTCATTGGAGCCTTGTGATTTTGGAGTGCTACTATCACAAGGATGGACGTGGTCGTTGTATCTTGGGAGACAAGGGCCAATCAATCATGAGCATCGTAGTGGGCAGTAAACTTGTCGATAGAGTGTTTGACGTTCGCCTGTACCAATTATATGTTTTTCTAATCCATTATATCATGTTTAGTTAACATTCAATTGATCATGTGCTTGTATTACTTTGTTATATAATTGCATGACTTATGTCTTAATTTTCTATGTGATTCAATATAGCAATTAGACCCTATTTTTCCAACAATCTAAAGACAAGTTTCAATTTAGTTGCTATTGAAGGTTGACAGAAAATATGGTATTCAATTACATGTTTTTGTCATTTTGGTACATATATTCGTTTATCATTGAAAATATGAATAGTATTGATTATATGAGATCAAAGCTTGATTAATATATGGTTGTGGTATGCATGTTTATTGCAAAGCATGATTCAATGTTTCAAATCCTGGTGGTTAATATATCATGCCTTATCAAATTTGACATTTCGACACTTCGACTACTTGAACCCTTGCGACTCTATGCTTTGCATATATATTGTTGTGAAGTTATGTCTACAATCTATGTATATACTTGGAAGTTTCTCTTACACGTTGGCTTCTAAGTTTGCAGTTTTTCTTTAATTTCCTTTAGAAGTTTGGAGAATTAGATTCTTGGTTGGTTACGGTTGATCAACTAGAAGTCTGAAAGTGTCTTTTGAAACTAATGCAACCCTGGTAAGGGTTACCTCGGCTGACCAAAGGACACAGTTGGGGTCTTGGTTATTGTACGAGACTGGTACATAAAAGACCTGAGAATGAGATAACATCTTTACTGCATACACACATGCATGAGTCTTCTATATGCTTGGTGTGTTTTGCCATCTGTCGTGTCTCTGGAAGTTCCATCATTTCATCAAACCTAACAAAAACGGCTGGAAAGGCATCATTTTTTTTTGTTTCAGATTTTGCAATCTGAA